ACAGCACTTTGTGAACCTCGAAGTGCAGATTTCGTGGCAGGCACAGCGCATGGTGAACCTCGAAGTGCAGACCTCGTGGCAGGCACAGCGCTTGGTGAACCTCGAAGTGCAGATTTCGTGCAGGCGCAGTGCTTTGTGCTCTCAGATGCTCACTCTCTCACTCTCCCACTTTCACTCACACTCCCAATCTCACTCTCACTCACACTCGCACTCACACTCACTCTCCCACTCTCATTCGCACTCGCGCTCACACTCACTCACACTCATTCTCATCCACACTCACTCCCTCTCACACTCACTCTCACTCCCACTCGCACTCCCTCACGCACTCACGCACTCACTCTCCCACTCCCACTCACACTGTACTCCTCACCCACTCGCAGACTCTCACTCGCTCTCACTCACACTCGCACTCACACTCACACGCACACTCACTTACCCACACTCACTCTCACACTCACTCTCACTCTCACTCACACTCACTCTCATTCACTCACGATCACTCTCACTCTCACACTCACTCACCCACCTTCAGTCTCACTCATACTCACACTCACTCTCACTCTCACTCACACTCGCTCTCACCCACACTCACTCTCACTCACACTCGCACTCACACTCACTCTCCCACCCTCACTCACACACACACACACACACACACACTCCCTCTCAACAACACTCACTCACACCCACCTTCACTTCATCACCACCATCACCTCTCTGGACCCCAATGCGTCTAGATCTCTAGACTTTCTGCTTACAGACCTCACACACACTGTTTGGGGTCTCTTGCCGGGATAATTTCCGGAACAAACCGCCGAGATTCCACGAGATCGATCTGGATGATAAGGGGCCTATGGGGTTAAGCGCCATCCGACATACCCAAATACTCACGCGAGGATGGCACAAGACGAAATCAGACCCTCGCGAGGGCCTGGCAATAAAACAGCATATAAAAGAAAACTTACTAAGGGGAGATCCCAAAACGAACCATGTGGATGGTCTGTTGATGGCACCATCTCTTCCAACTTCTACGTCCCCAGAATCCAGTGGGGCTGCTTGCAAGCCAGCCCGGGCAGTGGGCTTCCCCAGGCAGGACTTCCCATCTCGCTTTGCAGCTCGCACGGACCACAAGAGTAGATAGATCTGGCTGGTGATTTCAACTGAAACATGTCAGTCGGTGGGCTCAATCATCGTCAAGTAAAGGTTTAAGAAGAAAAAGCATCCGAAACCACCACCCAGTAGATCTAGCCCAAACCAAGTATGGAAATAGTTACCTACATTGGGGTCATAAATGGGGTAAATGTATGGATGGTTAGGTCCGGTAGCATCGCTTTGGGCATATTTTTGTTGTAGTTATTGGAAGATGTTTCCTTCGGATCCACTACTCACTGTCCGGTCCAGGCACGGTCCTTTGCAGTTCAGCTTTCACCATGGTTCACCTGTCCGTTGAGGACTCGAAATACCTTCTAAAACCAAAGAACTAGAAGGGTCTTGGATGGGCCTGGTCACTCGCACCGCCGCCGCTCTGGACTCAGAATCGATGCGGCACGCGGCACGCGGCACGCTCGGATGCTGCGGTCGGACTGCGCGGTCGGACTGTGCGTCCCAGCCAAAGATCTCCATCGAAGGCTCGGTGTAGGGATTGTAGGCGGGCTTAAAGCCTTTTTGCGGTCTGGATTCGTCGTCTGATTTGTTGAGTATACGTGGAATTGGAGCGAAATGATCGCCCGGAGTTCAGTTCAGCTCTTAGTCGAAAACATGTCGACCGCGACAAACGGGCCCGTCTTCAGCATGCCATGTCTTTGCTACGTTCGCTCTGGTTCAATCGCGACGGGTCAGTCAACAACCCCCCTTTGCAAAAAGTACTAGGAACATTACTGGAACCATATGTTGACATAGTGGTGCAGGATGTTCCAGTTCATTCTTGGACCTACAGTATATGTTAGAACATCTTGGAACAGACCCTTACAGGTCAAGGACCTCATACTCTGTCCGATCATGCAGTACTCAGTACGCAATGAGCGACGAATGGACTAGGTTTTCCACCCAGATGGTCGACGTGTGGCGGCCGGTCCGACCAGGCCCTCCGGGCGCAATTTGGAGATGCCGATGCGCGCGAAGAAGTCGCGGAGCACTCCAATGAGCTGCGGCAAGCCGATATTGCCTGGGTGTGATCGGATCCCAAACGGAACTCTGCGAAGCCCGAACCCCGGGGGGGTTGGGTTCAATTGTGGCCGTTGCTCGAAGGATGGGAATTAAAGGACCCAGCTCCAAAGGAACCAAAAACAGCAGAAAACGGCTGGAAAGAAGTGTTGTTTCAAGCACCGGTTTCTTCGGCGACATCCACCGGATGGCTCTGTCTGGGTCGAGTAGGCGAAAATGTTGAACACATCCATAAAGGCCAATAGGTCAGAAAAAAAGAAGGACACCTCTGAAAGAAAGGACGCTACGTTCGGGGCTCCTGGCCTTACTACTATAGGAACCTGCCTTCAAATGCATTAAGAATACCTCTCTGACGTCTTCGCGCTGCCGTAGCCCGGGCCCGCCGGGCACCGGTGCCGGAACGATCGATCGATGTGTTGGGGCCCCCCACGATCGGCCACAAAGCCCTCGATCTGGTGGAACTCCGCCAAGTGTGTGGCCTCAGGATCTCGGATCCCCACAGATCAAACCGAGAAGACATGGAGACATGGTATGAGATTTTTTTCCAGTAAGATCCTTAGTCAAACAATGAGTTATTCAGGATTCAATGAACATCAATGAAAGGTTGGAATCCTGAGGACGGAGACACCTCATGTAAAGGCTCGGATCGAGCTGCGAGCTCTGCCCAACAAAAAACCTTTAAAGAGTCTCCACGCACCCCGAGAGCTTCGAGGATGGTAGATGACCTCTTTGGGACTGGAAATATTTAGAATTATTAATGAATTGAATATGATTGAAGCCTGAAACGACCACCCCCAGATTGTATAGCTCTGTACAAGGAGCTAGCTGCTGCTAGCTCAATATGCCAATCCCACCGAGTGTCTGCATAGAGCCTCACAGTTTTTCGTAGCTCAATTAACTCAACACCGCTGGGGACGGTTTTGGGACTGCTCAAAGAACCGGGAAGAGCCGAAGAACACAGGGAGCAAGTATACACCATAGTCAAATCCATGTCCAACTCCAAACAGAGACCACCTCCCTGGCCATGCCGAAGGCCATGCCGGAGCACAACCCCTTCAGAGTGTGACCTGGTGAGGATCCACGCATCCAGGGTCTCGTTTCGGAAGACCCGGTCGATGGAGAAGTACTTCTTCGGTCGGAAGACGCCGGTCCTTCGGTACTCCTGCCGTCGGACCCCGGTCGGGTGGGGATCGCCGTAAAATCCCGCTCAAGAGCGAGCTCGAGCTCGTCTGAGCTTTTGGGGGGGTCAGATGAGTTGGTTCCTAGGATGCACACAGAACCCAGACACGACCCATGGGACTGCCATATACCGCTCCATTGACCCCCGTGTCTGGGGAAGTGTGCATCCTCAGTGTCAAAGAAAGACCGCTCCCGGGAGTCCTGGTTCACCGCACGCAACGGCTCATTGCATTCATCGTGCCCTTATTCAGTGACTCAATTGGAAACAAGAATGGCCATACAACGGCTCTTTGCTTCAACCTGGCCAAGAGTTTCCTGTATACAGCGTGTTGTATCTGAGAAAAAGAGGGACCTCATGTTGCTGGACTTGGACATTACAAAAAACAAAAACACAAAAACACCACCGAGGGGTTCAAGACCTAGGTGCCTATATAGGTTATTATTATATATATAATTATAATATATATATATATATACCTAGAACCTGGTCATGACCTCTATTTTGGACCACCAACCACTCAAAATAAGGTCTTTTCTTATCAAAACAGAGGTCAAATGGATTCTAGGTATATATGCTGGGTCAGACTAGACCTGCAGGGTCAAAGGAATGGAGTCGCTCGCACCTCGAAGCTGTGACCGGTCACTTACGCGCGGCGCCGCGCCGCGTAAATATGCACCTCCCCCATCTTGTAGAGCATCCGGGCCTGAGGGAAGTAAAGACGGACGACTTTCTGAGGGGGGAGGCGACTTACAGGGCTACTCCGTCCGACCAACAGACGCTCGAGTGCCGAAAGGAACGAGGGATTTTCCAGCGCGAAGCGCAGCGAAGGAAGGCAGGCGCCGCAGGGGGGGTCGAGGGGCCCTCCGGTGACGTCCGATGTAGAGCTCCAGTCGCGAAACAAAAAGAAAGCTCCCCCTCTTCATTCTCTTTTCCGTCAATGACCTCTTTTTACTGGAGTTGGTTATAGCGTCATACCGTAATACCCAAAAAAACATGAAGAAACACGTCAAGGAGGTCCAAAAGGTCTTCGCCTTTACTGGCTCGATCTTGGACTTGTATAGGCCATTCCTCGTATATACCATCTCTTCCTTCGGAGAGGGCGACTTCGTCCCACGCGGGCGACGGCTCCGCCGGAAACGGCTCGGGCGCACCGAGACGGCGGTGGTGTGAGTCCGCAAGAGGGTCTTCCTCGCCTCGTCCTGGAGCGGTTGGACCGGTCGAACCCCGGCGGGTCGACGCACCGCCGCGAAGGGTTGGGCGGTGGGGCCGAGCGGCTTCGGCGCTTGGGGCGGGGAGGGGAGGGACGTGGTAAGGCGGGTTCGGTTCTTCCGCCGTGCGCGGGAACGAAAAGGCCATGAAACGTGTCCTGCGCAGGCCATCGGTGACCCACTTTGTGGGGTGAACCCAAACTGGTCAAAATCTGGAAGTTGACTGCACCGACGAAATCAAAGGATTTTAAGTTGATCTTGTGGAAAAACACGTCAAAGACGGGGCGTTGTTTGTTTCTTGTTTCTTTTAATAGTGTGATATAGAGTCAAAAAAACAAGAAGAAAACCAATATCTATATCAATCTATATCACACTATTTAATATCTGAGTGATATAGAGTCAGTGCGAAGTCGGAATGTGAAGACCTTCGCCCCAACCCTCCGGCGGTTCTCTCAAACGACACCTCCTCTTGCCCGTTTACGGCGCTCCTCACTCCAGTCGTAGCGCCAACCAATGGATCCACTCCCGCCCTTCCTGGGTAGCAAAAGGCAGCTGTTGGAACTGGGCCAATACGACATGACCCTAGGGCTCCAACTACCTCCATTTCCAAGGTGGTTTGGGGTGGGTGCCAGGGTTCTAAGGGTCTAACCACCGAGGATGTGGGCCAGCAGCCCTAGGGTGACGAGAATCTATACCATTGACCCCCTGAAACAACCAATGTAACTCCCAATGTTGCTAAATAGGCCAGTCCCATTGGTTCGTGTCTGGATGATGAATGATCAATGCATATTCTGCTCAACTCAAATCAGGTCCAAGAAATCTCTCATCCAAATGCCTCATGTCTAGACTCAAGTCTTAACTGAAAAGCTATATATATACCTGGGCTTATATAGGCATACAAGTGGTGTTCCTCTGCAACTTACAGGTGAAAATGGAAGACCCAAACAACAGTCCTCAGGGCTTGTGCGACATGAATCCCACCCTCGCTGCCTTTGTCCCCATGTTGCCAAACAGTCTTTGCAGTGTCCAGGCATGTGTTGATATGTTTTGCCTTGTTCCTGAAGAGACCTTCATGTCCACAATATCTCGGATGTCTGTCATTTCTGAAGTATCGCAGGATCTGACACAATCTGCAGAGAAACCGATCGCGAACTTCCAGATCCTTACGTCTCACGTGTATCCCACTCCTTACGTCCTTAGTAACAAGATCATCGCTACTAGTAGCAAGGGCATCGCTACTAGTAGCAAGAAGCTACTAGTAACAAGGGCATCGCTACTAGGAGCAAAGGACGCTACTAGGGGCTCCTGGCCTTACTACTAGTAACAAGAAGCTACTAGTAACAAGGGCATTGACTACTCCTTACCTTCCCTCCCACAGCCCGGCTCCGCACGGCCACCGGCACACCCTACTGGCACGGCCACCTGCTGCCGGGCAGCTCGTGCATCTCCTTCACTCTCCCCAAGTAGTCCTCCGGGATCTTCTGAGCCCTACTGGGTGCCTGCCAAGAAGCGTCCACGGATGGGTGTGGGTCCGTCCGGGCGTGGTTTCCAAGCAACGGTCCAAACCAAGCAAGACCCACACTACCCACAAGACCTCCTGCGGTACTAGGCCTTCTTGTAACTCTAATATATGATCGTGATTATCATGTTGAACCAATAAATGATCTTGAACATGTTGTGCCATCTTGGGGACATAGTGCCGGGGAACAGTTTGGACCTTGATGAAGCAAGACTTTGGGTACACTAGATGAGACTTGGTCGAAACCTGTCCAAGTTCCAGTGTCACCTGACAATCAGATGCCACACTAATAGACAACATCCTGCACCTATACAACAATGGAAGTCCCACTGGGGATCCACTGTGCCAAATGGGTATCCACAGAGAAATACCATCTGTCGAATCAAATTATGATCATGAACCAACAAGTTGCTTTTGATCCCCTTCACTCGTACCAATCTGGCCTCCCGTGTCTACTCTCAAGGAAGCCACCCACTTCATGTCTTTACTGGGGACGGCCCACACCAAAAGCGAGTTGGTCGGCCGGAAGAACACTCTGTCCCTGCTCCAGAGTCAGTCAACACTCGGTGCCTCCATGAAGAAGGTGTCATGCGCATCGCGGGCCGGATGCCTCAGAAGGAGATGTTTCGCGGCAACTTCGAAGGAGGAAGTGACCTGAAAAACGCATCAAAATGGATCAAAACTCCATAGAAATCCAAGAAATCCAAGAACACCTCCTTCAGAGGTCCAGAAACTCACACGACTCTGGAAAAATTGGCGACATGCATGCAGCCCATGGCTGCATGGCTTCGGTGCTCCTCCAAGCCGCCCGAAAAGAGGTGGACATCAGACAGATGTCCGCCCCCGAAAAGAGTGCTAATGGGTGTCCAAAGGTATCTGGTACGAAATCTCCAAACTTGGGGTTCACCATTTTTGGACCAACGCGATCACGTGTGATCAATGCCCGTGCCTGGTGGGAAGCCCAGTGACAAGCATATACATTATCACGAGTTGGTTTATAGTACTCTATTCATGCCTCTTCGTGCCAGTTTGAAGCAATTCTTTTGGGATTATTATAGGGGACATCTCCAAAATATGACAGTCCGCCCCCTGATCGTCAAGCAAGGGAACTGCTGCGGTTGAAACAAGGCGTCGAAGTTCCAGAAGGAGCTTTCAACCCACCTGAGCACCACGTCACTTCATGCGGCAGACCCTTCCTAACGGCTTCGTTCTGATCATATTCTGCGGGATCAAACCATGCAAAAAGAGTTCAGCACTGATGGGATAAACATTGCAAGACATTTGGAGGACCACATGTGCACCGCTCCTGTGGAGAGGTTTATAGATGGTATGCACTGAACTCCCAGAAGTAGAGTCTCAATAGAAGGGGAAGCAAACGAACACCTGCTTTGGACAGGGTCACCAAGTATTTACATCCCCCTCACCTTCTGGCATAGAACATGATAGGCCTATGGGTAGCGCTAGGCTAGCTCCCTAGGCCCCTGGGATAGGGGCTACCCTGGCTCAAGTATAGGGGTAGCTGTGGGAGTTCTGTATGCACCTTCTCAGTCGACTTCCCGCGCACCATCCGATCCCCCAGCGACTCTCTGATGGTTGTGATACCTTTGTCAGTACCTGACTCCCGAGCTGTTTCTACGAAGAAAAGAATGGGGTGAACATGGGTGTTTCCCCTATCCCCCAAAAAGTCAGTGTGGCCATCCACTGGGTGTATAGGCTCTTCCGCCACATATTCCACACACCAACTCACTCGACGCACCGATCGCTTTGCACACCTGATGGGTGCCGGTGCGCGGCTCGGGACGACTTCGGGTCGTTCGTGCGGGTGGCTGGTTCGTGGGCATCTCTTCGAAGCCCATCTGCATCAACACCGTGCGCATCTCCGTCTTCACCTCCGGGCGCAAGGACTGGCTCCCGTCCAAGGACGCGGAGAAAAAAAGGCATCGTCCCCGCGGGGGGGGGGCGATGTCAGTGGGCTTGGGGAGATCCGTCATCCAGCTGATCGAGAATACGCCTCAAAAGCCACCGGAACGAAAAGAACCGACCAGGAACGTTAGGTGGTCCTCTGCAGCCACATTGGGAATTGATCCACAGACCTCGGGGATTTGACCCTGGGTGTTTCGCATCAGTGTCCTGTCCTTGCGTCCTTCACCAGCAACCATTTTGATGCATTTGTTAACAAAAGACTTTCCTTACACCCTCTTGTCGCTGCCACCTATGAGGATCCTGTCCAAGCAAGCGGTGTCCCATGCATATTGCAATCTTTACAGTTGAATCAAACAAAATCAACAAAGAATGTCCTTGTAACGTCAAGTGTAAAGCACACCAACTACAACAGCATCTCTAAAGATTAGATTACAGACGAGTTATCCTGGATATTATCTTATATTGAAATCTATTGAACCGGTTTCTCCAAATCTCCCCTCCCAGAGAACGCCTTGTTCAGGGGATGCAAATGGCCGCCCGCGCTGGGCACGCCACTCGCATTGGTCAGGTTGAAAGGCTTGAAGGTCGTGCTGCTCCAGGTGCCCTGGACGTGCCGGGCGCCGCCGGGCGCCGCCGGGCGGCCAGGTCACTTTGGTAGGTTCTAATCTTATTATATAGTTGCCCTTCCCCGATAGGGTTTGGAGTTACTGGGTTGTTTGGTTAAGTTGATGAAAACTGACAAATGTCAGCAAGAGTAGGGAGGGAGGGAGGGAGGGAGGGAGAGAGAGAGAGAGAGAGTTGCCAAAAAAACCTAAATAGTGATGGGCGATCAGCTTTACATTCCGTTACCATCCTGTAAATTCCAGGGAACTTCTCCTCTATTTTGCCCGAAAAGAACCATGGACTAAATTCCGGGCGACGAATTACAGGCGATTGTTTTCCCACCGGTTTGTGGCACTCTCCGCGGCTCCACCGGTTGCCTTGGTGATCATCTCTGCGGTGAGATCGGCAACCGCCTTCTGATCTCCCGCGGAGAACTTCTCCGTCTTTTCCACCTGCGTGGGCGTCGGCCCGTCGGTCCGTCCCAACGGCGAAGGACGTGGACATCACGGGTCAGCCCACGACGTGGGCGGGAGGGGTGGCAGCTGGATCGAAAGAAACTATTTCAGAAACAACAAAAAAAACAAGGGTATATAATATATAGAGAGGGATTTCAAACTCGAAATCATTTCCGTCCTCTTTCTGGGTGTCTCACCTCACCACTCTCCAATTTTTTCGTAGCACCAAAAAACGGAACGCGGCGCCGCTGCCATCAACGCCCGGGAAGTTGCCACGAAAAATGGCCTTGAAGGCGGTTAAGCTGGTGGGCGCAACGAGTTTGCGCTTCTTCAGCGCTTCGATCTTGGCCTCGCCCATCGGGCCCGGATGTGTTGCACGGGACGTCCGGCTGCGAACGTGCGGTGGCGACTGTGACCCTTCGTCTGACGAGATCTTTGGGGGGTGGTTGAAAAAGTGGCTGAAGTTGAAGCAGTTCGGTCGGGTTGAAACAACATATGGTCTCCAAAACTTGATCGGCTCGGAGCACGACGAAGAGAAACTTATTGAGATTTGTTCGGAACCCTGGATCACTTGACCTCGGTGTATAAGTCCAAGGGGGCCACGCAAAACGCAATGCCTGGACCTCTGCCTTTCTTCAGTCGGCGATAACATCATGCGCATATGCCGCATGGCCCATGCATTTTAATATTGTGTCCTTACTTTTACTTTGACTCACCATGCTTCGGCAACTCACAGGCAACCTTTTCACCGGCACTTTCATCGCAAGAGCTTCATCATGGCCACGTGCCGAAAAATGGCATTGAAACTCAAATAGAAGAAGGCTTGCTGCACTGCCTGGTCTGCTGTCAGAGAGCAGCTTTCCATGGACACGTAGCCGACGTAGCCGAGATGAGCATAAAACCCTATTGCCGATGGCGTCGCCAACAGCGGCTTCCAGCTCCATAAGCACACCATCTGCGCCAGAACACTGGTAGGCTCCCACGCCGTCGATTTCAAGAACACGGCCTCCTTGCGACAGGGCGTGCGCTTTGCATATCACCCCGCCCACTACTTTGCAAGCTGTGAAAACCATAGGCGGGCATTGCTCCATCTCTTCGACAGACTGCTTTGCGTCCCCAATATTGCCGCACAAACGGGCAAGGATCAAACGCTGGGTCTCCTGCCTCATCTCCGCTGTGGGCTGGTGGTGGATGAACGCAGGCGCGTGTTGAAGAACTTGCCATTTCCACTCTGCGGACCAAGTCTCTTCAACCAGCTCATCATCGTCAACATTTGCAGCCCGGAACTGCTGCAAGACATGTCCTTGTCGCAACAGGGATTTCCCGAGAACATCAATGAACTGAAGCTTCCGCCAAGCACGCTGGATAAGAAGGCAGGCGCCGCGCCTCTTCCTGAAGGTTGCCGTGGCCAACATCATTTTGGCAAGCGCTTGGAGCCTGCACGCCGCCACAAAATAATGTCTTCTAACTGCTTCTCCAAATGTCGCGCTGTTCCTGGAAGAAAGGTTCATATTTGCCAGCTCTGGCTGCGAGTCCCCCCTGCTCAAAACATGCGTTCCAGCCTCAAGATCTGTCCCTGTTCTCGGCGCTGCCTCTGTTGCCGGAAGAAAGGTTCATATTTGCAAGCTCTGGCTGCGAGTCCTCCCTGCTCAAAATATGAGCGCCAGTCTCAAGATCTACGTCAATGCCATCCCTGTTCTCGGCGCTGCCTCTGTTGCCGTGCGCGCGCAACGCCTCAATCGCCGCCTGGCACTTTGGCCACAGGCACCTTGTAGCAGCCAAGGCTAGACAACTTGCCGCTGAACACATCAGCAACAGCCAAGGCTGTTGGTTTGGTGGCTTTCAACCAACAGCTCAGCAGCCTCGATAGAAGGCAAAGGGCCATCTGGCCATTGAACTGCGGAGCCTTCAGCAAAGTGATCCGCAGCCAGCGCACCAGTCAAAGCCAAACATGGCAATACGAAAGCCCGAGCGATCCGAACCATGGCACAGCGGGCGTGGCAAATGCGCCGGCGTGCCGGGCTGGCGGGTCAATCCTAAGGGTTTGAAAGCTGCTGCAAAACAAGTACTTGAATACAGTAATGATTTGTTCTCACGGATCTTGTTCTCACGTGAGAAAAATATCATTGTTCATTCCAGTCACATCAAACGACATAAGACGTTCATCTTACGTCCGCCATCGATTGAATTTCTCCAAGTCTTGGAGTGGGAGAGCAACAAGTGATGGCGCAGGATGCAACTCAAGACTTGAGCTACTTGGGTGTGCCTTTTGAGTTGCGGCACTTGCAACTAACTTGTTTGGAAGTTATAGAGCTTAAGAACACAACCAAAATAACTTCAAAGTAAGTTCAAAATAACGTCCAATAACTTCATTTTTTGAAAATCCAAGAAACCAGATTGACTATATATGTTCATTTTTTTCAAGAATCATTGCCGCTCGCTGAGACCAACCTGCTCAGTGCAAAGCGTTGAACACCGCACTTTCATGAACACCGCACTTGCTATAGCAGCCAGCCATCCAGCTTTAGGTACCCCATAGGCGAACGCAAAAGATCTCCTTCCTCTCCGCCGGCCCCACCATACTCTGTCCCAAAACATCCAAAATCCAATCCAATATCAAATGACAAACCATTCAGCCATCCAAAAATGGAACACCAAGTATTCTGCACGCCACGTTCGAACGTGCACCCCAGTCAAATGACTCCTCCTCGCATCCGGACGACCAAAACGCCTCGTCTGTGCACCGCAGTGCCCTCGCTTTTCTCAGTCCACCGGTCTCAGCCGCCGCACGTGGCGACCGACCGTGCTTCTCCGCTCCGCGCGCCTTGTCCAAGCTGCTCAGGGACGTGAGTTCGTCCTTCACCGTGTCTTCCACGCTCTCCACGGAACAACTGCACACCTGGCACCAGTGGCGCCCGCAGCCCGCAGCCCGCAGCCGGTGGAAGAAGAAGAACTGCTACCGACTGATCACCCGGTGCAAAGAGAAGGGGTGTAGGTTAGGAAGTCAATGACATCCCGTAAGTCAAGAAGCCTGGTTTGAAGGGAAGAGATTCCAAAAGTATGTTTCAAAATGATACAAAATGACAATACTGGTCCTCCCCGGCTGTGGCATTCTGGCTTGCGGCATTGCCATCGCACATGGATATGGATTCCTTATGGTTCGTTCGGTGTCATAGATGTCTCTACCCACGTCACGGCTGGATGCGAGTATCGGTGCACCCTGTCTTCACCACGTACCACTACGTCGTGGGGTTCCAAAACCACCCATCGACTGGAGGATGTCTTGATCCGGGTCCGTAGCGAAGCCGTTCAAGTCGATGCACACCAACCTCAGGCTCGAAGCAAATCCCAACCATTCATAGGACTTGGAATATTTATCTGGATCTTCCAACTGTGAATGATGGTTCAAACCCTTTAAAAAAATAGGAATGTCATCTGCCTTTTTACTACCGTAAGAACCCCTCAGTGTGCCCACACTGTTTGGGGAATTAATAAACACCAGGTTAGGAAATGTGGTTCTCGGAGTTCCAGGTCTTCGATCCTAGGAAGTCGACCAGCTGAACTTCGCCGAACAAGTACACATCGACAGCCCGTCGGCCGTTTTGGTCCAGTCCGATTGTTGGGGTTTCCGGTGTCTCCCGGTGTCCTTGGTGGCTTTGTCGATGGCCACCCACTTGTTCTTCATGCAAGTGCCCAGACCTGGGTGAACAGGAATTCTTGGGCGGTAAGAAGACATCAAATGAATCTCATAAAGATCCGCAACAACAACAACAACAACAACAACAACAACAACAAGAACAAGCAAAAGTTTAGAAAAAAAAACTCGTGACAAGTTGATATATTTTAGCTCACCATATGACAATGATATCTGTCTCAGGGAGACAGCTCCTTTCACCAGATCGATTCAAAAATGGTTGAAATCTTGCAAGTCGAATCGATCACAAAACTGCTTCGTCCTTTCTTTCTCACCAGCTTCTCTACTCGGCCCACTGTTCATGTATGTGATGCATGCTACTGCAGCCTGCATTGCTCGAAGCAGTCAAGGAACCGATCTTTGCCACTGGGCCCAGTTGGCTATCCAAATCCGCATTGGACATGGAGCCCTTGGCCTTGATGCAGTTGAAGACCTGTTGCCGGCTGTTGCCGACTGGGTCGCCAACGATAAAAACCATCGTCTGCACAACCGTCTGGCGACCAACCGTCGAGGATCTGAGGATGTTACATCACAAAACATCACAAAACTGTGTTTGACAAAATGATTTTGAAAGGCTATAGAACACACAAATCTGTGTGTGTGCGTCATTTGTTGTGGAGGTGTCCAATGGTCAAGCACGTCTGAACGGTCAAGCGTATGATAGCATATGGTGTATGTTGTATGAGACACACATGTTCGAAAGTGGAAAGACCATATTAAAGAAAGTTGACCCCTGGTGCTCTAGTTAAGAAACCATTAGCAAAAAAGCGATTGTTCGGTAAAACCCATGGAAAATCGCTGGTGCTTTGAATCCTACAGGTAGTAGACGATGATGCTTAGAACTTTGTCACGGCGTTGTTCAAATCATGAATCAGTGTAATCATCTTTGTAGACTCTTGATCAACAACCTCCCCCAATTGAATTGAAAAACCTCTTCATAAGGGGCACGCACATATGGATGTCTGTCGAGCGTTCCGTGACAACCCTGCCCCTTGATCCTTCGGACACGTTGTTTGGTAGAACGTCTACAATTATACTGCTTTACTGATACAAATACCAACTTTCAAGCCCTACTTCCAACTGGAAATCCCCACCTGCACTTCAGGGCTGCCATTCTTGCAATACTCCTCGCCCTCACCGGTGAGCTTCCATCCTGAACACAGCACCAAAGCATTGCTATCTGGTGCATGAACATGCCAACCCTCCGCTCTGGTCCACCCTCCAACCCCAAGAGCTTCCTGCATTTAAGGAGAACCAGGGTTTGATGGCAATAGAATCTGCCCCGGTCTGAACATGCCTGCACTCCACTTTGAGCACAACTAAAAGCCGCTGGCACTTCGCAAAACCTACCCGCTGCTTCAAAGAGAGCAATGTTTACTCATTTTTAGCCTCTTCCGCTCTCCTGGCTACTGCGTGGCTTTAGCCGACGTCGCCACATTGGAAAGATAAGACGTTGGGCCGAGCACCGCAGGGAAGTGGGAGACAAATCCGGCGCTGATGTGGCTTGGTCTCATTAGGGGATACCCAAAGTACCTGATTCAGAAAGGAAAGTAATGGGTCAAAGACCTCATTGTACTGGAGGAATTGATCATACAAAAACACTAAATGAGCTTTTCAGGACCAGGTGTTGGCCTCAGACTGGACTTGTTGGGGTGGATCAAAGCCTTTGGGTGAATATCAAGTGAGTCATCTGCACTGCCCTTTGCTCTTCGGTACGCCCATCGAACCGCACAGCGGTAAAGCGGCGGTATGAAAAATTGGGTGCTGCGGACCGTGGATTGGCCATTGTGTAGTGGCAAAGTGGGCAAGCTCTACTCTTGTGCTCCAGAAAGGATTGCAAACAACAAGCAAGCCTCACTAGATCATCTCAGTCTTAGGCACAATCCACACAGATTTGCCAAAGCATTTCAAGAATCCTCACAAAGAGATCCCTACTTGCTCCCTTCCTAACTCTCCCTTCAACGGCGCAGCGCCTTTCTTTCGACGCCTCAGTTCTGCTGTGGTGGTTGAGGCGGTTTCATGTTTGCACCTGGCATCGTTTGAAGCACGTGCTGAAGGAAATCGCTGTTGGTCTTCTCCATACACTCGCGGGCCTCCGCGGGCATCAAGTCCTGGATCTCCTGATGGTAGCAATGGCCTCTAACCTAATAGTGTGCAGGTGACGTAAGCGTGAAAAACTAAAGTAGCTAGCTTGAAGAAACTGCACACCAAACCTTCAGGACGAAAACTTTCGTGCCATGAAACAGGACGGCATCATGCCCAACAAAAAAAGAAACACATGGTCACATTGTCACAGCACTCCGTTCGTGTCACATTGTCACAACTCGGCACTCCTGACAAAGGGTCTGGAACTGGCCCAAGTCCTCCGCGCTGGGAGGCCCCGCTGCTCGTGGCATGAAGAAGAGCAGCAGCTGCGCCAGGCGTTCCCGAGGCATCTGATCAAAGGCCTCGGACGAGCGGACTCGGAGCGTCGGAGCGTCGGAGCGGGCTGTGACATGGCACGTTCTTCTGTTTAGAAGACCTATAAGGAGCCGATGCAAGCTGTTTTGGGTCAATGGTGTTCCTTCTACAAGTACCCCGGCTTTTTTCAATGTATATATACACTGTTCGATGTCATCTTGGGCCGGTTGAAAAGGCCCTGAGGTTCAACATTGGCATCACTTCACTTCAGTGTGAATCCCTGACAAACCCGCCAGCAAGCCCTCGGATACTCTCACACGAGCCCCAAATGGTCTGCTCCTGTTGGTGTGGTCCAGTGGTGTTGCAATACGTTCACGGTCAACTCCTGGATCAGATTGGAAAGAAAACCCCAATCAACGATGAGGGTTTCATCTGGATCGATCATCATCTCACAAGCAAACACAAGTCTCTGATTTCAGGGTGCTTTCGGGCCACCTTCTCCCCATCTCGTCTATGCAGGTATCCAATTGGCATCCCTGTTCCAGGGAACAAAAGGACATCTCCCCTACCGCACTGCCCCATCACCTCTGGGTCATCCACAGAGCCCCCCGGGTATCTGGGTCGGTCCGAATCGCCGAGCGCGACGGAGAGCACGGCGCCTTGTGCAAGCCCTCTTGGATGATCGCTGCCTCCGGCCCATCCTGCGGCCATCGGCGAAGACTGACAGACCGAGCAGGATCGGAAGGTGGAAAGGAGGGTTTGAGAAGTGCCTCTTTGGTACAAGTCTGCTCTTGTCAAGATCTACACTTCTTTTTAAGTAGAATCACTTCCCCCAGCCCCCGCCTGCTGCCCTCGACTGGGGTCTTGCGCTTGCAGGCGGCTCAAAAATCGCCCAAGGCATTCTGCACCCATGTACTCTCCCAGCTCTTGCAAGGCTTCTTCTTGCTCCTCATCAGTCTCTGACTCCTCCTCCTCCTCCACTGAGGTGCCCAGAGGCGGACTGCCCTTTTGGCCCTTCGGGTCTTTGCGAAAGCGTTGTCCCAAGAGCCATCCACCGCCCAGCCCCACCGCCAGGCCCAGCGCTGGCACTAAGCCTGCAGAGCTTAAGACCACCACGGCACCACCAGTGGCGCAGAGGGACACCAGGACCGAAGAACGCGGATGATCCATTGGGTGCCAGATTTCGAGCAACCACGATGCTCAGGAAGGAAGGTCGTCAGCATTGAAGTGGACGAAACTCATTGGGATATCGTGTGAAGGAATATCAAGAAAAGGATCTATAATCACGTGAGTCCAGGGGAAACAAATCTTTGAGACTCCTTTGATGGCTAAGATTGCATCAATGAGAAATCCTGCGGCTGCGGCGGCCACGCCAAATGTCAGTAACAGTGGGGCCCCAGTGAATAGTAAATAGTGCCAACCATCATGCTCTCACGCCTACAGTCTCTATCATTCTGTTGATGGAGCTGGTCTTGAAGATCTTGAATCCACATTTACCCAAATTGTGTTTCTTTTTTTCAGAGTTTTGAGAGGGGTGTTCTCATGTGTTCTCAGGATTTGCTTTCATCAACCATGCGTGCGGATTTTGCTCCTGATCCAACCTTTCTCACCCCAAGGCCCAAGTCTCGCCTTCTCGCTTCATCGCTTCCGCGGTGACTTGTTCCTATCCGGGTCCGCCCCGCGCCGCGCCTCCCCAACGGTCGGTCGTTGGTATTTTTCAGGGACGAAGGGACCAAGGTCGCCCAGACGAAGGGACAGTTGGGCCGTCAGGCACAGTCGTCGCCTCTAGACATTTGAGTGGTATTTTTTTGTGGGCGGTCGTGTCTGGGATGGATCGCATGAGGAATGAACCCGACACTCACAACTTACCAAACCACCAGGTACTCGAAGCAAGAGGAGTGATCCAGACGTTCATCGGTGTGGTTGCTTGTTGAGGCTTTTAGGGAGGGCAGTACTCCAAAAGCCACTGGCACTCACGGCGCTGAGGGACGGAAGACCAAAGGACGAAGGTCAATCTACCTACCTAGTGATCTGGTTTAGTCAGGGCCAGGGCAGTTTAAGTCTATATATTTATACCCACTATACCCACCCATCGCCTTGGTGTGAAAACGTGTATGTCTACCTCCCAAAGCGACCCATCACAAAGAAAAGACGGAGTCTGCAGTGGTGCAAACGGACTCATCTCTGCAGTCGACCTGGTCCTGTCTTTTTCAAGTCGACTCAACTCCAGCGATCTTTGCAAAGACTCCAGCGATTGGTGTCCTCTGCTTGCAAGGACTTGATGGCTCCCACCAATGCCTCATGGTCCCAGCCTGGCGGCTTCTCTTCTCGGACGGACACCCCCAGCCTGGGGGGGTCGGAGTTCGGAGTTCAGGTTCGGAAAAGAAAAAAGGAAACGAAACGAGCCAGGTGTGTACACATAAGAACCTATTTTATGATGTATAGTGGAAGATCGCTACCTATTCTGAGTTTTTCGGCAGAGCGTGAACCAAAAATACCATCCCTGCCCTTGAGGAAGGGCATGGGAGGTCTCCGTCCCGTCCGTGACACCAGAAACGACATCTTCATCAGCACTGGCGGGAGTATCAACACATCGCTCCTCATTTAAAACAAAAATGTCACATACAAACAATGACTCTTGATGCCCAAAACGTAGATACTGCCTACTGCCCTACTCTGCACTTCCCATATTCTTCAGTTGAGGCCATCTACACATCACTGGCGATCTTGTCTCTTCACTGGCAATCTTTCTTATTCCATCTCCCAAAGCGGCCGTTCAACACCTCCACCTCTCTGGCCACCGCGCAAGGCGCCGCGGCTCAACAAACTCCACGGGCTTCCCCCCTAAAAGGCCCGGCGGCCCCGCCTTTCTCGCGGCACAGAACCTCGGAATCTGGGAAGCCTGAGTTCGCCTCCGTCGCGGTGCACGGGGTGCCTTTTCGTGCGGTTCCCGTCACCGGAGAAACCGCTTTTTTGTGGTGGCAACCGCCGGTGGAGATCGGGTGGAGATCCTGGGGCAAACGGCATAACTTTCCAGGTGATTCTAGTGAATAGACTTCTTCAATGATCTTCAAAACAGGAAGAAACTCCAGATACCCTCCTGTCATCGATCCAAGCGTCATCGACCCTTTTGGTCTCTCCTTGCGCTCTCTCTTCCTTTGGAAGGGTTGACGAAACGAATAGACACAGGAAACCAATAGGAAACCATATGGTACCACTACATACCACAGCCACCATCCACTTTCAGCAGTCCGTTTCCGTGCCTCAATGTACTCCACCAGCTGTTTTCTCATCGCTGCCGCCATCGCCGCCTCAAGCAATTGACGCAAGCCTCCTCTCATTCAAGGGACCTTGCTTCAAACCACTGGTCTCTTCGAGCACCTGAGAGCAAAAAAGACATGAATCTGCGGTTCAGTGGTTTTCTGGATGAGCTCCTCTGGTGGCGCCTTTTTGGGGGGGGCGGATGCCCGAATTGCCGGCCGTCTCCCCTCTCCACCCCGCCTGCACTCTTGGGTGCCCAAGGGCGGGCAGTCCCACCGGCGGGCAGTTCGCCGGCGAGCTGTAAGCCAGGGTAGGCCGGACTGGACTGGAAAAAACAATCACATGATAAGTCATTCGGATGGTGTGGGATGATGTGATTTAAGGGTTTACGCCTAAGAGCGGAGGCAAGCAGGGCTGGTGCAGGCCTAAGAGCGGCGTGCAGGCGGTGTAAACAGGGCTCGGTGGAAATCCGAGATAACACCCCCCCCCCTCCGCGAGGTCTGGGGGCCCGAGTCCCTCTCTCTTTCTGTTCCCCTTTATCTTTATCTGTTTCTTCCTTTTTCTCTTTCTCTTTCTCTGGAAGATGAAGAAGAAGAGCAAGCAAAAGCAGAAGTTGCTAATAATGCAAGGCCACTCGGGCAGAATATCTCGCACCACTGGCAAATGAAAACGACCTCACAGCTATCAACATACATCTTGGAGCTATCTTGGAGCTATGTTGATGCTCTGTGGATCGATCTTGGATTGTTTCCAAAAAATGCCTCCGTCCACACTCTGCCCAGTGGCCTGTAAGTTTCCAGTGCCTCTGATAGTATGTGGTCGGCGGTTGTGGGCCCGCCCCCGACACCTACCTCCGGTAGGAGGGAGCGCCAGAACCTGTCTGGTTCGATTTTTGTGTATGAAAAAACATAAGGAGTTCCACTAACTTTCTGAACGCTGGCTGGATAGACTGGTCAGAGTCTATGTTCCTGAAGGTTTCTTCCTATTTTCACACCAAGCGAGATGGAACGTCACTCGACTGGGTTTGATTGTATCGCACCTGATTTGACGTCGGATTATATATCTTCATCTTCGTTTCGAATCTCTGCAGTACTTCCCAATCCGCCGAAGTGCAAACAGATGGAAGAGATTCATAGCGTCGTCTACCCGTGTTTGTTGCAGAAGATCTCCACTCTGACTATGACTATGACACACATTGTGAAGATCAAACTTTGCATTACAACATCACGATCACCATCGCAATATTCGCTGATTGATCTTCATCATGTTTTGAGATGTTCGACCATCCTCATTCTAAACCAGGGGGAGTTAGTTTTCAAGGTCAATTGAGAATGAACGCCCTGGCAACCTCTTTTTTAAGGCTTCTCGCCCTGCGTCCGCTCGTACTCCATCTGCCAGGCCCTTTGCAACCTGGGGTGATGTTTTCGAACAGCACCGCACAAGTTGTAAACTATCCGGAAGAACGCGCATTTCGAGTTACTTTTGCGTGGTGGGTGCGGTGTGTGCATAAATGATGAATGTATTTATGGTCTATCACAATGTCTTGAGCTATAATTCGTATTTGTAGGTATTCTTCTACCTACCGGAAGAACACTCGCCGCTCGTGGGCACAAGCATCCGTTGAATGGCAAAGATCGCTGACGGGCCGCTGGTGCCAGGGGTCTCCACTCTCGCCAAGGGACTCTCGGGCAATCCTCTCTCGTTCCTTCTCTTTCCGACTTTGAAGGATGCCTGAGCATACAGGATCGAGAACCAGGATGAAAGGAATGCGCATCCAGGTCATCATTGAATTGTGTTGACAACACGTCCAGTCCCTCCATCATTCTGGAAAACCCACAATTCACTGTGCCATAACCTCCCAACAGTTCTGAACATTTCATCAAACATGCTGAAACATCGTCCAACGCCTCGGGCAGCAGGGTCAGCCATTTTCTTTCGGAAACGAATCCAAACCTCCACAACACACTGCAACCCACTGCAGCTGCCACCGTCGTGTTTTGGTCTGGCCCTTCGCTCCAAACAATGCCTTGCCTTGACCCAGCTGTAGGACTTCCATCATCAATTTGTAGCAGCCCTGTGAACGATGCGTGCGATGCGATGCATCGCGTATGCATATTGCGTATGCATCGTTGAAGCAAGGGCAAGTAGAAAGAACGCGGGTCTTGTCTTGCATGCAATGGTGGAGATGTTCCGGGATCCAAAAACAGCAAGTGCTTGACCCAAAATGAATGGAACCCAGTTGTGGTAGTTCAGATATCAAATGTGTCAAGATTCTCAAATTGCTAGCAGCAAGGAGGCTATTAGGTGGCCATCGCAAGTAGGTTGGAGGCCATCGCTACTAGTGGCAAGAAGCTACTTACTACTCCTAAAAAAAGTCGCTTCCAACCCTTTTCCAGACGTCGCATGGCGCCCAGCGCAGCATCGGGTTTTTGAGAGCTCCAAGTCGAGAATGACTCTTGGTGAACTTGTAAAACCTCAATATATGTTCCTTTATGAATTAAGGTAGAACCTCTGGGTGTTGGATTGAATCAAGAGTCTGCATTAATTTGAGAAGTCGGCACCAACTCGATTCGCTGGGCGAGCCACTTGCCACAGCGCACGCCGATCGTCCGATGCGTTCGGTGGCTGGAATCACTGTGATATGTGGCGGTTTTTTGGTTCAAAAGACAAACAAACACAGAAATTCCAAAGAGGTTTTTCGGGAGGATTCACTTGTGACATTCTGTGACAGTCCATTAGGCGCCCCAAGTCATATATGGTCTGTGGTAGGTGCCGAAGTATTTCGGTCGTGGGTTTCGTAGGTCACCGAGGAGCTGACCTGGGCCACTGAACCTTGACAACCAAAAAGCGCCAAGGCCAAAAGCCCTCGCGAGCGCTTGGCGGACTCCTGGGAGGCACCGGCATCACGAAAGAGACGAAAGGACATGCGAAGGAAATGGGATTGTTTATGAAGGGTGTGCCGGGGCATTTTTGAGAAGCAACATCAGGTGTTAAGAAGTTCTTGGGTCCGAAACTGACATGGATTATGCTGCAAATCGGAAACTCCTCCACCCATTTTCTGAGACTAGTTCCAACCATTCTCCTTACATCGAATTCTATGTAAGGCCACAGGTGGACTATAGGTCAGGTCGTCTTTGAGAGACCAGCTCTGGTCTTTGAATAACTCCAGAGAGGTGATGTTGCACTCCCTAAGTCGAAGGCTCTCAGCCCACAGCCCGAGGCCACGCGGCCACACCAGATCAACGGTCGCACCGGTCGCACCTCGTTCGGATCCTCCAAAAACCCACCTGCCTGGCTTGGACCACATGGCTGAGATTGAATCATCCTCACAAGGCTCTAGTAACTATAATGTCTTCAGCATTCTCATGCCCCCCAAAAAAGAACATTAGATAAAGCTATCTCATCAAAAAGCTATCCCATGTGAAATTCTTCACCAGGTGTCCGCCAACGGACTAACGTTTTCATCGCTGTCGACTTCTCGACTCGTCGACTTCGCCCGCTCCTGTGGAGCGACGCCTCGCGGGAAGCCGACGGGGAAGCTGACGGTGCGGACGGATGAAGCGGTGGGGTGGAAGGAAAGCAGCTAACTAGGGGCATTCGAACTGCTGAAAAGAGTCCGGGTTTTGAGCTGATCATCTTAAAGATAGGGAAACCCTTGTATTAGAGTGTCATGCTCTGCTTTTGATGACTGGAAAATCCGGGTTGCTTTGCTCTCGGACAAAGATCCAAACATATTTGATCGGATACACTTGATCAGGTGGGGATAATCATGTGGCTGGTAAAGAGCTCGCGAGGGTATATGTGAATTGAAGATAGGTTCCTTCGTATATTTAATATATATGTGTTTTAGTATTTTTTTGCTACTTTCCTTAGCAGACCAATCCGCCTACTGCTAGCCTATACTCGGGACCTTCAGGAACATGGCTGATTCCTTGCGGCCATCATTAAAAATTCAATCACATGGTCATCATTTCAGATGCAATCTGAACATTCCACATCAGGCCGCTGCTACAGCAACGACAATGCCTGAAACTCCCGTTTCCCTGTCACCGAGCCAAGAAAGCCACACATGACCTCCGGTGTAGTACAACGCCACGACCTCCAGCGTGTCGTTTTCAAATGTCCGCCTTCAGCCGACGTGTTCTTGATGACCCATTCCTGACATGTCTCAGAGGTCGTGTATACACGAGTTTCTACACTTAGATTCGTCAGAATCATCATGGTGTACATATGGATACCTATGGTGTTTCCATCTCCACGTCACGTTCCGACGGTCAATTCGTTCACTTATCAGAGAACTTGATACGCCCCGGAAGATTAACATGGAACCTGGAACCTGAAAACTCTGAAAACCACTGGCTGGTGCAGGAAGCTAGTCTTCCAAAGGTCCATTTTCAGGTTCCATATTCCTCCCGGGTGCAATTTTTTAAGGAGGCGATGTCTCCCTTTCTGCAAGGCAAACAACGAACGACACCACTGGGCACGTCCGCAAGAAAGCCCTCCTCTGGGATGGTATGTCGCACACCATTCTCTAAGAATTGCACCACCACAGTGCCATCCTCAATGCCTCGGCGCCATCCATCACGACTCGGAGTCGTTGGGTGCGAACGTCAAGGTTGATGGATTCCGAAGGAAGGATGCAGGAATTGGGTCCAGGATCATTTTGGATCCAAACAGGCCATGCATTCTTGTACCTTTTGTTGGTGAATGTGGGTTTTCCTTGTGGCTTGACCGGCTCAACTAGTACAGAGAATGTCAATGATGGTCAATGGCTAAGGTCTATGATGATGGATGATGACCTAGCACCGACCTCGACCTGACATCGCCGACCCGGTCGCGCACGCCCGCTTCCGCGCGTCGGCTTTCGCTCCGAGGGGCTCGAGGAGAGCACCCGACAGGCCTTGGCCGTGCGGCTCTTCGCGGTGCTGCCGTCCTTCCGCTTCGCCTCCACGAAAGGTCGGCCAGCGGAGGGGGGATTTCGCGGCACTGGAAGGTCCGCCAGCGATGCGAGAGCAAGAGACGTAGAATGACTACGACCTGGTGAGAAAAACGTGAAGTAAAGGGTTGAGAGGTATATGACTATAATATAACATAACATAATAATACAATGTCATTGAATATATATATATATGAGGCGGTGCATCGGTGATATATGGTGAATGTTGGGAGATCCTTGGTCGAATCTCCCACGGCATCAGACTAGATGTCCGGTGACCCAGAACTTGCTCCGTCTTGGTCTCGCATCGGTTTCTGTTCCCCAAAAGGCCGGGCGGCAGTGGAAAGATGGAGCCTCTGCAGCCTGAAGCTCCTTTCTTTGTGCCAGGAACCCTCTAGTCTCAGCCTAGGGCGGGCCAGCCGCCTAGGGCCTAGCCCGTGTCCGCAGATCTCAGCACAGCGGGGAATCGCGCTGAGTCCGCTGGCCTTGTAGTGGGCGTTGGTGACTTCTGGCAGCTCCACATCGCCTGAACAATGGGAGCGTCGATTGAAGGAGCGCTGCTTTCGACGCAGGTGCAGGGGACGAAGACCGAGGGACTGGGCAAGAGACCTTTTCAGATGTTTTCATCGACCCTCCTTTATGGATGGAACCCTTCTCTTCCGTACAGCTGCAAAAGAAGATAGAAAAAACTGGCAATAATCACCGCAAGAACAACAAGCACAGTGTCACCCCTACGAACCGAGACCATAGATATCCGTTTACACTCATGAAGTCTAAAGACATGTACCAGACGTCTTTCGCACTTTAGTCATTTCAAGGTTCCTCACATTCTCATACATTCTTCTCTTTTCAACAAGCTAATTGTGGTTGACCGTTGTTTGCCAGCAAAGTTCTTCCTATCTCTGCCCTGCGGATTGGTTGAGACTTGTGGTCGACAAAAGCCGCACACGAGCTGTGCGGATGCTTAAATGAACTTTTCCTAGTGACTGTTGGACTGACAGGTTTGAGCATTTCATGCCATCGGCATTTGCGTCTTGGAAACACCAAAATCCAGAACGCAGTTCCAAAAGGAAACTCATAGTTTTGTCTTGCTCCTCAAAAAATCACGGTCATTTCGCGCAACCTGTTTCTTTTGGCAAACACGAGTCGGTGCATGTCCGTGCAGCGTGCATGTTCCTGTCCGCCGCCTTTCCCCCACTCTACTTGTGATCTTCCCACTGTCTACCCTTGTCTCCCCTTAGAATATGTTGAAAGGAACGCACCAATTCCACCAACTTGGCGGAACATCGTGCAGAAACTAAAAGAACTTCAATCAAGTTCATGGATGGCTTACCCATTCACCACAAACCTCATGAACCTTAATTAATGATATTTAATGATCGACTAAGGGTCATCGTTCCCCAAGACTTCAGTAACCAGCATCCTGGACTTACTGGGAATAGATGATTATCTGCCAAAGCAACAGAATCATCATGGATCATCTCCGGGTAAGACTGAACCAGCACTGGAGGTCTTGGGGAAAATGAATCATTATGTGCTGTAGACTCTTATGATAGACTCCATGATGACCTTTATGATAGTGTTCGGTAGACTCTTTTTAGATGTGCACCTGAACCAGCACTGGAGGTCTTCAAGGAGTTCTCCTGGATTTCCTGCGCGCGGTCATCATCCATCCGGATCGTTCGTGGGGTGGGCGTGAGGTGGTCGCGACTTCTCCACGCCGCGGAGAGTGGGAGTGGGGACGGGGTGACAGGGAAGACACATCAGAGTGTGGTCTTGGGATTCTTCAGTTCCATGTGGAGATAATGATTGATGATTTCTGGGGTTCCTGGCCCACTTCCTCCCAGGCCTAAGAAGTGTGGAGAGTAAGCCAGTTCACCCAAAACCGCTTGCTGAATCCGACCGTGGATCGTGGATCACAGCTGCATCAGAATCAAAATCCAAACATCTCAGGCGATCGATCAACTACATGGTTCACATGATCTCATTTCTAAGCGGAGAAAACATGTGAGCCATCCTATGCACTAGAGGATTTCTTGCAGCTATCAAACAGCAGCTGGTCTACTACCTGGCCTGCTGAATGTGCTCAGACATGCGGTTGTAGCTTCCAATCAGGTTCTCGTACCAGTCCGCCACAAGCATTCTGGCCTGACGTCGTTGTGTGGTCGTTTCACATGTCTTGGAATCGACATGTCTTGGAGCTGCTCTGGGTAACGAGCTCGTTAGCTCTCCCAAGGACCTGACGGAGACAGGAGAGTTTGCGACTCCCATGCTTGGGTTCAAACAGCCTGCCATCCAAACAGGTGGCTAAACGACAACAACTTCTCACCGCAATGTGGGTCAAGGACCCAGTTGATCTAGAATCTAGACTTAGTTACATAAACGGATCATAAACACATGCTATCGAAAAAAAATAAGGCTTTTGTGTTCACCCATCCGGTCAAACAGTCCAAACTGAAACGGCAACTGCTCTGGCTCAGGCGGTCCAGCGAACACATCCTGAACAGGCGGTCCAGCTTTGATTCCATGACGATGCTCCGGTCCAGACCGTGAGTCATCCTGCCGTGATTGTGTCATTCTCCAGTGTTTTGTTTCACCAAGACAAGGTGGACAAGTCTGGCATAACGATCATCCAGAAGCTCCAGACCTAAAATCAGTAGCAGTTCCACGTGTTCCAAAGCAGCTGTTGATGTGCCCACACCAAGTGCCCGTCCTCACGTTCGGACACACAAACCCTCGCTTTTCGGACCAGTTCCACCAACCCTCGAAATCTTCAGCTCGCGTCCTCCGCGACGCGTCGCGTCGCCTGCACTTCCAATTGCAGCTCCTCTGCATTGCACGGCGCAGGTGGCACCGGAACCCATCGGGGAAACCACTCCTCCTCACTGCCGGGTAGGAGGCCCGGATGACCTTGGACTGTCAGAAGGCTGGAAGGCTGGAAGGCTGCAGCAGGCAATGTAGACTCAAATACGCCGGGTTTGCCCCAAGAAATTGTTTCAACAGGTTGGGAGTAGTTCCTTCTTCCAAGAATTCTTTGGCTGTGAGTCGAAAGCTGGAGCTCAGTTCGCCCTGGTAGGCAAACCATGTCTGTTTGTCTATTCTGTTCGTTTTCCGTGGGAAAAGCTAGGGTCCCCCGGTGTCATGAGCTGTGTGGGCCATGGAAGGCTTGTAAAACCAGTCCACCCCCGGGCGGACCGGCCATCTTGAGCCACAAGTTCAACTGAATCGGTTTGTCCAGGTGGCCACCAGGTGGCTGGTATCAGAAAAAACCTTTATGATCAAAGAAGTCGCCTCTCAACTTCTGCCAAACACTCAAACGCTCAATCTGCCAGTTTTGGACATGACCCAATGTCCGGTCTGCCTCGGAAGGAGTGACCCACACGCCTTCACCGGGTGGTGACATCGACCATGACATCGACCAGAGCACCCGTGAGTGGATCGATCAGTCTCCTTCATCACTGAAATCAGCTGGCCAAAGGGCTGGAAACCGAATCGGACCGAGTCACAACTCTTGCTCGACCGAGTCGCAATCCTTGAAGAGGGAGTCGAAAAGTGTCTCATAGACCACCTGGGCCGCGGGAGGGACGCCTTTTGAGCGTGGAAGGTTTGCTGGCAGACCATGCACTTACCAAGGTCGTGCGTAGGTCACAAGGTTGAACGTCAAGTTCCGTGTCATTCAAATGACAAGACTGGGGATGGTGCATTCGCTTGACATGGCAAAGCGAGGCAAAGCGTATGACCCCCAGCTCGCCGGACATTCTGATGTCGTCTTTCTATTAGACCTTTCCCCTGAACCTCCCACTGTGTTTCACTCGCTCTGTCGAACCCCACATGACGAAATCCACAGACCCGACAGACCTGACGATTTCCGGAGAGCTCCAGCGGACCCAACGTGACACAGATCTCCGCGCCTCGGGAGCTCCAGCTGGTACGGGGCTTTCAATGAAGCGTGCCAAGGGAAGCAAACGCCCGGTGGGCATCGCATCCATCGGCAACCGGAGAGCGGCGGCCTCGGAGCCTGGGGCGGCGTGCACGGGGAAAACGAATCGAATCAGACTGGACCCCATCAACAAGGACCCCATCTTCGGTCCGGGTGCAGTAAGGTCCGGTTATACACCTATCACTTGTCAGATGTTATAAGTTTGCAAACATTTATTGCATGATTGCGTGAACGTCGTGGGCACATGCCAAGGATTTATCATACATGACCCGAGAACCTGCATGCAATGCAGACTGATGTGGCAATGCATGACCGAGAAGCTCAAATCGATTCCAGCACGTTTCTGCAACAGCGCCACTTTGGCCTCACAAAATGGAAAGCTGTTGCGAATTGATCTCGTCCACTTCCAAGCTATGCACGACGATGCACGCACAACGATGCCCCTCTCACGGACCCGGATCCTTTCAACTGAGCCTGTACCCGAAACCGCTGTTTCGTCATGCAGTTCTTTCAAGCCGCCAACTCTCCCCCCACAAAAGGATTGTGAGGTCCATCAGTCCACAACTGGCCATACACTGAAAAAAGAAAAAAACGGCGTCTTCGCGTGGATGGCCCGAGGTTCGGATGACCAGTTTCATCCAGTTTTCCAAAGACCAAAGAGCTGAATTGTTCCACTTCCACTTCCGATCTCAATCTGAATGTAACAGCCCGAATGTCAAGACACAAAAACGACACCACCGGCCCCACTACCGGTCACATCTGGGGGAGGAGGGGGTTCCCAGTCTCTCAGCTTCCAAGTTCCAAGTTCCAGCTTCCGAGACGGCCCCCACCTGCTTCACCATCTCAGAGCTCGAGGGCCGCTTCGGCAGTCGCACCGGCAGCGGCACCTGGAGACGCTCCGAGTCGCGCTCAGTGCGGGTTAAGAAAGGCGACGTTGTGCTACGCGGAACGACGAAACCCCATGTGTTGGGTGAAAAGGGATGGGGGATGTGCTATGCGAAATGGATTGAAATGGTGATCCAATCATGGAGAACTACATGAGCGACGGACGCTATACATTCATGTTTATATTGCTTGAACTGGGGCGGGTCCCTGTTTCCGATACACGTCCACAGTCAAAGTCGATGTGCGAAGGGGAGATTGTAACAGCTGGCACAGCTCATAGAATCATGAAAGTCACGGGGCCTCGTTGTAGGCATTGACCTCTGGCACAGCTTCATCATCTTCCATCCGGATTTGAACCTGTCTGACGCAGGTTCGTTTGTTTCCCAAGACTGGAAGAGGCGGTCTTCCAGCGAAAATACAGGGCGATTCCGATCGAACACGGCAGCTCCGAACGAAGAACGTCTGGACGAAAAACAGTCTTCATGTGCGTTAAGGGACCAAAACGGACCCACTAGGAGTAGCGTAGTTACCAAGCTGGATCTCATGTGTGGCACTCTGAGCCGGCCTCGCCATACTGCGTAAAGAGTTCCTGTCAACGGGCAGTGCGGGTCCTCTACGAGGAAATCTGGATCACGCCATGAACTACACCCCAAGCAGGGCTTGGGCAGAAAACAAAAAATTTAACGGGGGTCTTGGATCACTTTTTGCTGACCTTTCGTGCCAAGGGCTTTTCCAGATACCTGAGGGCAGTTTCGTCTGTCGCTCCTCAAGGACTAGGGAAGGATCCTTCAGTGTGGCACTCTTGGACCTCTCGAGTCATGAGATGGAAATACAACGCATCCCATGCATGAAATCCGCCGGCCCCGGTCTGGGACGATGAATGTGAGCGTGAGCGGAGCAGGGCCAGCGTGTTCCTGAAAGGGGTTCCGGTGAGCGGTGGACGATCTGGGTCTGCCGTCACATTGCCAAGAAAGTTGACACATGTTTAAATTCTAGATGCGTCACAGACTGCGTTCATGGGAAAGGCGTTGCCCAGGAAATGCAACTAAAGCAGGCCCACTTGGGGACCGATATTTCAAGGGTTTACGTCCAACAGCGGGCTAGCATGGTGTTCAGTGGCAGGGGCAAGAGAAAACAGGGGCGGTGTTGTGGTTATGGTTGTGGTTGTCGGTGGTTGTGGTTGTGGTTGTGGCTGCCATTTGCTCCCCAAAAAAACATACGTATAATACACGGCAAGGGCGGCATTGGGGTCATCTTGAGCCACCTTGAAGGAAGGGGGGCACCCTTACGGGCATGCTGCCTGAACATCATATCTTGCAGAAAACGAAAAACACCGCTACTTGCGAGGTTTTCTGGCCCCTCCACCCTTGAAATCCTTCTCCCAGTGCCCGCGCCAGGCCGCCAGTTCGTCTACATATGGTGGGCGGCAGGAGGGGCGGCCCCGTGGGCGCAGGCCAGACCCCTGCTGGCCCGATTGAGAGGCTTACATCCAACAGCGGGCCAGCAGGTTGTGGTTGTGGTTGTGGTTCTGGTTCTGGTTCTGGTTGTGGTTGTGGTTGTGGTGGTGGTGGTGGTGGTGGCTGCTGCTGGTGTTGTTGTTGGCAGAAACAAAAACAGCCGACCAACATAATTGTCACATGTTGTAACTTTGGAACTTCAAGGGGACAAGGTTAGGGATGCGGTTGAAGGTTTGAGCGAATGTTAGTTTCATAAGTAGGTAGACTTGTTGGACTTGTTTCACTGAAGTCTGGGCCGGTCCGTTTTTAGTGTTTTTGAGGTGTTCTTCTGGAAGGGGGGGGCCAAAAAACAACAACGGGGCTGCAGCCTTTGTTTCTAGGAGGGGGTAGAGACAACAACACCTGTCGAGGGGGTCCAAAAAACAACAACGGGGCCGCAGTTTTAAAAACAACAACGGGGCCGCAGCTTTTGTTTCTAGGATGTGGTAGAGGTTCTAACTAGAAGTTTTACCGTCGCTTAGCTGACCGGTTACTACTACTCCTCCTCCTCCTGCTGCTGCTGCTGCCACTACTGCTACTACAACTGCTACTCCTGCTGCTGCTGCCGCCACTACTGCTACTACTACTACTACTACTACCACTACCGCTACCGCTAACCCTACCACTACCACTACCACTACCACTACCACTACCACTACTACTACTACTACTGCTACTACTACTACTACCACTACTACTACTACTACTACTACTAATAGCACCAATACCACCAGAACTAGCACGAGTACAAGCACTACCACTGCTGGTAAAAGTACTTGTTGGCTGGTTGTTTTCTGGGGGGGTCAAAAAAACAACGACGGGGCTACAGATTTGGTTTCCACCCCCTTGTAGAGACAAGGAACAAGATCTGTTGTAACGGGGCTGCAGTTTGTGTTTGTACCTTGTTCTTGTTCTTGTTCTTGTTCTTGTTCTTGTTGTTGTTGTTGTTGTTGTTGTTGTTACCGTTGTCGTTGTTGTTGCTCTGGCTACCAGAAACAGACTCAGAAACAGACCACACCAATAATTATAATGCAAGGCAACTTAGGCGGCATAACTCGCACCTTGGTGCAATCTCCAGCCATTATGAAGGAAGGGGTGGAACCCTTACGAGCATGTTACGAAAAAAGATGAACGTCACGTTCTGCCAAAAAAACACAATGCCTTTAATGTTTTTGTGCGTGTGCAGTCTGCACATGGACAAAAACGCGTCAACATCGCTTTTGATACTTGGGGTGCTTGGGCCGGTTCAAAGCGTTGGTTGGTGGTGCGAGATATGCCGCCCAAGTTGCATTTGCATTTCGCTGTTTTTGCATCCTTTTCCGCCGCTTTTCCTACCGCAGCCACAACAAGAAGCCAACCACCACGACGACGACAACAACAACAACAAAACCACACTTCCTGCAACAACCAACGACCATAACAACAACAACAACAACAACAACAACAACAACCACAACGACGACGACAACAACAACAACAACAACCACAACAACCACAACAACAACAACCACAACCACCACCACCACCACAACCACCACAACCACCACCACCACCACCACCACAACCACCACCACCACCACCACCACCACCACAACCACAACCACCACAACCACCACAACCACCACAACCACCACAACCACCACAACCACAACAACCACAACAACCACAACAACCACAACAACCACAACAACCACAACAACAACCACAACCACACCAACCACACCAACCACAACAACCACAACAACCACAACAACCACCACAACCACCACAACCACCACCACCACCACCACACAGCCACCCAGCCACCCAGCCACCCAGCCACCCAGCCAGCCACCCACCCACCCACAGCCACCCAGCCAGCCACCCAGCCAGCCAGCCAGCCCAGGCAGCCCAGCCAGCCCAGCCAGCCAGCCCAGCCAGCCAGCCAGCCCAGCCAGCCAGCCAAGCAAGCCAGCCAAGCAAGCCAGCCAAGCAAGCCAGCCAGCCAGCCAGCAAGCAAGCAAGCAAAAAGATACAAAAAAAAAAACAACAATGGCAAACAACCAAAAACAACAAGAAGGAGGGAGGAGGAGGAGAAGAAGAAGAAGAAGAGCTACAACCACAACCTCCCCCAGCGACGCCTCTCACTCTGCATCTCCCCACCATGTCCTTTCCTTCGTTGGCATTCTGCCTGCTGGGTGTGGCGTTGACGCCTCTTAAAGATCATCAATGCTCCAGGTGCAGTATCGCCACGAACAGACCCCCACAACAGAACCGCCACGGTGTGATGGCCTGGTCTTCATGGGACGGCCACGCCTGATTTGTCACTTGGTCGAAGCAGTTCCGAAGCTCAGCGCCAGGTCTGAGGTCTTGCAACCTGGGAATTCGATGGAATTCTGTTTCTTTGGGCTTGGCTTCCAGGGTGCGGCTGGATGGAAACGTCACAGACTTGGCTAGGTGGAATTGGATCAGCTTGGGATTCGGCTTTGGAGGCAAAGTCGCCCGGGTGGAAGAGCGACCCGGGTCCTTCGTTCGCTCCGGGGAAGCTCCTTCTGGTTTGGAATTGGCCTCCACACACTCGTGCCAGGCGCAGAAAGCGATGAATCTACCCTGTCAACATGATCAGCTTGTGCCTGAAAAAGTTAAGGGCAATTTCAAGTTTGCTATGTGTTCACCTGTGGTGATAGGATGCTTGAAGTGTGCTTCATTGGAATCTCATTTTCCTCATGGATGGGAAAGTGCACACTCTGGAAAACAGTTTCCATCTGTTCAGGGACCACTCTGTTTGTGCCACCCTGCGATCTACTGCGGTTCTACCGAATTAAACTCAACTTGCCATCAGAGAAATCCAGGAAATCACGACTCCTTCGCCACCGATGTCGGTCACGGCTCCGGCTCGCGTCGACGCGCGTCTTCGTCTCCCCCGCACTCTCTCCACCGAGCAGCGCCATGGCCACCATAGGTCCACTGGTGAGGCCTTCATCTCCGACCATCAGGGCCGGGCTACCCGTCAAGTCGTTGCCTGCAGCGGCGGCCCGCGTTCCGACCCCGCCGCCCCTTCCGACCCCGCCGGGCCCCAAGATCGGCCGAAGGAGCCGTATGCAAACGAGCCGTCCGAACGTGCAGAAAAGCCTGGTCAAACACATCCAGAGGGGTCCCAGCTGCTCACTTGGAGTCTTCGTTGCGGGTCTACGGACCGCTCCGGACCGCCGCGAAAGCTCGCGCGGTCGCGGCTCGCCACCTCGCGCAGTCGCGGGAATACGGCGACTTCTGCGGCCCACGGCACGGAAATGGTCCAGCACCGGTACCAAGGCTCCAGGAACTGCACTGGTGCTGATCGCACGGGCCTCCACCACGCAGAGCGCGAAGCGGAGCTCCTCCTGGGAAGGGCAGGAGCTACGGAGGTCAGGAACCACTTCGGTTTGCAGGGCGGTGGAATGCCAGATCCTGTTTTCGAAGTTGAAGGGGCGGGGTAGATGTTCGACCTGAACATAAAACCAAACTTGGCTCGATCCAGAAAAACCTGGCAAACTGGGGTCAACGAAAGCCACGAGCTACTGAGCTGGGACCTCGGTGGGGGTGCGAAGTGAATATACCTTAAAACGCACGCCCCGCCACCGAACTCCTATCCCGACGTCCGGCACCCCCCACCGAAGTGAAGGCTTGGCCCCTCCCGGAGTGGCGGCACAAACTAACTGGACCCCTCGCCAGAACCGTGCGCAAATGAAAGACGACTGAGCTGTCGATCTGGAGTGTAGAAAGACCGGCGGAGCACACCAGGCCCGGCCATGTGTGGCAGGAAATGGACTTTCACATGTTAAACACCGTGAACCAGTCTGAGTGGAATGTAACCCAAACATTCAATACACATAAACTAAATAGTCGTTAGAGCATGTTGCTGATGCAAATGATGCTCTACCTGCATCATCAATTCACCAAAACACCGCCTCCCAGACCCCTAAAGACTCATTTCGTTCGCAAAAACAACTTCAGCCTAGCCTATCGGCTGGCTTTCGTGATTGGGGTTACTCGAGAAGCACCATGTGCACTGACTGATCAAAGATTTGGTCGTTGCGTCGTTTTGTGGACATGAATTGCAGGCAAAAAGGAAAGATATGGCCTCTGTGGTTCATGGATCCTCCTTCAACTGTTTTGGCATGGCTACGCGACTGAATCCCCCAGAACAACCTGTGGCAACCTCGGCTAGGCTGGTGATCTGGTCCACACTCTAAAGAAGATACCAATACAACAATTGTGGAGTGTGGTTGTTGATGCAATTTTGGAACCACCACAGTTCTTTCCCCCAGCGCAGCGGGCCGGCTGGCCGGTTCTTCTGGGTCGGGTCGTTCCTACTACAGTCGCAACGAAGATGACTCCGACGGGTGTGGGGGCAAATTGCTCCCACTCATCCCATGTCATCCCGTTTTTTCGAGCACCCCAAATGAACGGAATTCACGACAAACCTAGACTCCACCAAAAATCGCAGCGGAAGAAACCATGGCCGAAAACCCCGAAGAAACCCGCGAACGCAGAAAAAAGTGCATCGCCGAACGTCACGACGGAATCGGGAGGGACTCGTACAGGTGGAAACAGGGCAGGGACTCCAAACTCTAAGCAAGAACCCCAATGATTGTCGCTATCTGGAGAAAAAAGAAAAAGGGACGTCCGTCTCCGATCAAAACGTCCGTATCCGTCTCCGGTGCAAACCCTTCGATGGGCTCTTGAACAAGTCCATCGACGCAAAGCTCATGGAGCTGGCTCCACCTTCGGTCTTTCGCGTTTCCTGACCTGGCTTTTTGAAGCAATGCGCGGTTGCGTCTCCCAACATGCACCCGCATCCAAACATGCACGTGGCTGCAAGGTTCCGGCGCTTGGTTCGTGTGGTGAAGAAGGTGCTTCTGTATTACGGTGCTTCAAGAAGGTACTCTGACGGGAAGATACTGGAAGGTGGCTGAAGAGGTGAAAAGTTCTTCAACCCACGAAAGGACCTGAGGGGAAGAACGATGTTCACCCACTCCTCGCTGGCTGACAGCTGCTTCTGCAGCCTCTCGATGCGCTTCTGAGTGCGCTCCTGGCACACCACAACCAGATCTGATCTATCCCCGGTTTCTTAATGCTTTGTCTCTTGAGTGGCTTTGTTCACGCCTGACACAAAAAAGAAATCCACCTGCGAAACGCACGGGTCATCAGTTTTTCACGCCAAGACCGTCCACTTCCGACGACTTGAAGCCCCACATCTCCCAGTGTCTTGCTGTGTTTGGTTCTCACTTGAAACGGACGCAGAGTCCGTTGTTGGACGCAGAGTCAGTCCGTCCTGGAGAGAAAGCACCGAATCTTGCACGTCTTTGCATCCCGACAACCAAGAGATCTCCTGGTCTGGTTGGTCTCATCTCGGAGATTGGCTTGGGTGTTTGCTCCGCACGTCGTCTTCCGATGTCAGCTTCGCACGCGCAAGCAAAAGGGTCGCGACCAAATGCCCTCGTTTTGGCGCTGAAAAACTCCTACCAGCCCCTCCTTAGCTCCGAAATTCTGCACAGCCTTTTGTTTAAAGAAGCCCTGACCAGGAATTGGTGGTTCTCCGCAATGTCTAAAGCTTTACAAAAAGAATTCAGGTGCCGCTTAAGCATGGCTTCCAATTTTCATACGATCAACTGACAAAGTCTGACAAACCCACCTTCGTTCTGGTCAAACTGAACATCAAAGCTTCCTAACCCTCCTTGCTCGTCACTTCCCATAGGATCGACCAACAAGTACATCCCCTTTGCACCTTTTGCGCGATGCGCGACAACGGCGGAAGAAATGGGCGACAACGACTCCTCTTCCGTCCAGAACATGGGATGTCGTGCCAGGTCCTCGGCTGCTCCGCTGGACGCTTCGGAGAAAGACATGTGGCGGCGACATCCCAGCGAGTGTTCCCGGCGCCAGAATGGAAAGGGATGGGGTCTGGAATGCCACTGCATCACACGTTGTCTGTATCGGCACGCATGAAATGCTTGTCAGGTCTTGCTATCATCATATTCAGCATTAACAAGAGCCTCAACAGTGGGGTCCGTTTTTTGGGACCGTGAACCGATGTGAGCGAAAAATCCGTGAACGCATTGATTCATCGCAGGCACCCTGCCTGCCGCCAAAGAAAATCCACATATGGTTCAAACTTTGATTCCTTTCCTGGCGCAAATCTCTCACAGTAGCTGACTGCAGGATAAGTCAGCTCCAAACTCCCTGGCAAACCGCTTGTTGACCAAACAGTCCAAGTTCAGAACGTCCTCCCAAGCAATCTAAGAATCAGCTTAGTGAACCTTGTCTTTGAAATCAAAAGCCTCCAAGGCAACCGCGTCAAGGGTGCGCCAATGGATACGCCACTGGGTGCGACAAGGCAACACAAGAACAACATTGATCTGCATGTGTTTAATTAGGTCGAGTAACATCTCCTCTATGCAAGTGCAACACAGCACCCCTACTATACACCCACTTTCTTACGCACTGGAAGGCTGCCGTTGCCTCTGAAAAACACATCGGGTGGATTGTCTTATGTCCAGCCCCAGCCAGCGGTAAGATGGCCTCAGCCAGACCAAACCGAAAGACGCCCAGCCTTTGGCTCTTTCCTTCAGGAGCTCCGCAGCTAAGAGCTCCTGCCGAGAAAGGGTCTGCAGAAAAAGGCCGTGCTCTGGGGGTAGGGGGGGGAGCAGTGGGCAACCTGTATTGCCTTCGGGCGTTGTCTGCCTTGCGTGGTTGTGGCTTTGCTTTGCAAAGCCTTCTCAGACTGAAGGGGTCAAGGTAGGTAGCGCAAGCAGCAAAAGGAAAAGCATATGAAAGCATCATGGCCGGAATTCTTGGCGGAGTCGAACAGCTACTAGTACAGCTTTGCACAGCGCAAAGAATACTCCTCTCTGTGTTGCACTCAAGTCTGTTCACTAACATCCACCCTCAAAGTCAGTACCGTAGACTAAAGCCCGCCATGTGCGGATGTGAAACCGTTCGGGATTTATTGATCAACTGTCTACATTGCAGCTTGGACATGTCTCGGAATAGCAGTGCGAGCTCACCTGATCATCTATAGTGTCGGCAAAAAAGCACTCTAGCACCAGCGATGAGGTCCTCTTACAGGACCCAAGGTGGATCCCCCCGGCTTTCCCAAGTGGAATTCCCAAATCATAGACATATATCTTTTGGATACAGAAATTGATGGTCTACAAAACATCTACAATCTACAGATCAAATTCATATCACATCTCACTTCTCACAAACCAAAACATTCCATCCAATCTCCCTCTCCTCTACCTCTGCCCCAACCGAGTCGTCCACGGTGATCCAGGCGTCTTTGGGCACCTGGGAAATGGTGTCTATCCTGAAAAGGCGAACAGTGTCAGTTTCCAAGCAGAAATGGTCATAGTTGTCTCAAACTGGCCTGGAACTGTTGCTTGTCGAACTGGGGTCGAACCCAAAAAAAGGACCTCTAATCACTTTCTACGAACCAAACCATCACCACTTCTGGAACACCCAAGTTTGGGTCTTCATCCCAAGTCATATCGGTGCATCATATAAAGATTGAGCACATCCGAGACTCAACTCATCGGGCCATGGCCGCTATCGTGCCATGGCCACATGGACACGCCTCCCCTCCCCTCCCGCCCATGGCCCTCCCCCAACAGTGCCTGAAGAACATAGCGTCCAGCGCCCACGTTGTTCAGCTGTTTTGCAGTCAGCTTGGGCTTCAGCCAGACGCCTGCGGGCGAGACCCCATGAAGAACCTCTGATACGATGGCTGAGAAGATCCAAGAAGGATGCTGCTTCCAAACTATACATCTGTTGCAATATATTATACAATTTACACTTCTGCCTGACCTGAACAACCAATCCAAAGCAAGTCCAAATTCAGCGGTGATGGGGTGTTTCTCCTCTAAAAGGAATGATTGAATACTTGGGACTCGGAACAGTGCAGCAAGACCTGTGCCGGTGGTCGTTTCTTCTGTACAAAATAAACACTTGCACGAGCTTCGACCAGAAGATGCTGTATAGGTGCTTTATACTATAATTACTTGCAAAAACCCTGCTTCTGAAAACCCTGCTTGATGCTTTTGTGCAAATCGCCGCATCAACCCGAAGAGGTCACATCCATATTGGTGGCATCGTATTCTGGATATTTTGCTTTGCAGATGGCCAGATTCACTTGATCCGCTGCTCATATGATGGGTTCCATCACATGTGGCTGATGGACTTTGTGATGCACTGGTCACTGAGGAATTGGCTTCAAGGCATCATACCACTAAGGAGTGAATTCTGATGAATAGATGTGCAGATTGGCATGCTAAACAAGCTGCTTTGGTTGATGCCCCAGTTGACCCCCAATTCTTTGTGCATGTTCAAACGCTGTTTTTGAACGTCAGGTCTTTCTCGCTCGGTTCAATCAGTTTATCGGAAGGTCACACAGGCCTTGCCCGATCCGGAACCGGAACCAGAAGATCGCTTCCCCCGATGGAATTGGAATCAGACAGCTGAATGATGTTCTTGGACGTCGAAAGTGCGCATTGTCGACCCGCTAGGATGGTCGTCTCACCTTGATCCAAGGGATCTGGCAACTTTTTCTGATTTTACCAACTCTCTTGAGTGGTATGTATCTGACTCGGTTTGCACCGCTTACATTGAGTTCACATATTTATTTTGGAAGCGTGGCTTCTTCCTCGATTCATGTTCTTCAGGAATGCTTCGTTCAGAGACCTAAATTGTTGGCTTCAACGAGTGCTGGTCTTCTTGAACAAGATTCCAAACCATGGAATCTTCCCTGGACAGACAGATCAGTATCGGCTGAAGACTGAGGGTCGTGCTTTACCTCAAGGATCGATTGTTGGCGCCGCAGTTCGTTTTTCTCTTACTTGAAGAGCTTGCTGACTTTGGGGAATTGCTCATTGGAGGCTGCTCGAAGCAACTCTCCACTTGGGAATTCCCAGTGTTATCATTTTAATTTGCTGCAAGTGTGCTGTTGAGACCGTGTCCACAGTGACATTCCATTCCACCTGGGGTGTCGTGCGTGGATGAGGGAGATGAGGGAGATAGCGAAAAGGTTTTACAATCCAAATGCGGGTAATTAACAGAGATCTTGGGAACCTAGGGGGGCCCGGTGCCGGTTTGTTCGTTCTTTGTGCTCTTTCGTCTTTGGATGCCCCGGCCTCAATGCATTTTCGTTCGATTGTACATACTTTTCTGGTAGACATAGGTCACTCAAGATTTCTCACCAACTGTTCTCAAACCCGCTGTAAAACGTAGAAGCGTTCAAGGACCGCAAGTGAGCGCATCCAAATGCGGGTGGTCTTAATCAATTGACATATGTGTGTTGAAACACCAGGCCTCTCCACCAGTTTTTGCGGGGACTTCCAAAAACCGACCCTGCCTACTTTTTGGCGAACCTGGCTCCATACCTCTGACCCATGACTCTGCATGCCTGCACTTCGGCCCAGCTCCACCAGGTCCAAGCCAGAGGCTCCCAGATCCTTCAACCAGCTCCTACCGGGTCGAAGAAGACGACCCGGGTCTCCGTGCTGCGAGGCGAGGAAACGAGACGGGTCCCGACGACCCGTGCGGCGTGTTTTTGCGGACGAACATGGGGCGGAGTGGGGTGGCTTGGGTTCCAAAGCCCACGAAGCTGCCTGGAAAATCCTTCAGCTGCGGAATCGCTGGACGTCGTGTTGGGTCATAGGCAGCCACAACGTCACGTCGGCTCCTGAGCCTCTTCTCGGCGGCGAAGCCGTCGGGGGGGCCGTACCTCGGCGTTCAGGGCCTGCACTTGAAGAATCCGAGGAAACAGCCCTACCGGTCAGGAACTGACGGCACTTTGCAGGAGAATATCGGTCAAAAAAACATGAAGTCCTGGGTCAGACTGGACCTGCAGGGTAAGAGCAAGCATGTTTGAGCTCTACAGTTCTGGTAACCTCAAATTCTGCAAAGAAACAATGACTGGTCTCTTCAGGCTTTTTAAAGACTACAGCAAAGGCTCAGAATTACCATCTCCTGCAATTTCTCATTAGACACTCGGACTCCGAGAATACAAATATATATATATATGGCTCTGAGCTGAACCTATGTGTGGTTTGTCCACTGTCCCTCCTTCGGTTCCGATGTCGGAACAGACCTTCCCCCCCCAACTTCCACCCGTTTGCCATAGCCCACTCCACCTTTCGTTGCATCTGGGCCGCTTCTCCTTGCTCTTCGGCTTTTGCTGCGTGGTTGCAAAGCCCCCCGCGCGGCGCCGCACGCCCCGCAGCCGAGCTTCGACGGCTGCGCGCCTCGCACGAGGAAAGGTCAGCTGGGAGAGCCGGGGCAACTCGGATTTTTTCGGCACGACTGCGGTGGTTTTTTGCCTTGTTTGGACGTACAGTGAGGATTTTGTCTCTCTCATGTTTGGACACGGGTCGGTGTCTCTCATGTCTGCGTGTCTCCTGTGTGTCTCAGGAAGAAACAAGGAAACGGGGGGTCATCCTCCAACGTCACGCTCACGCGGCACAGATTCGGAAAACGCCAAGGCACTTCCAGAACGCCAAGATCGATACGGCAACTCCTGCAGTTGACGTCGCGACCAGCGTTCGATCTAGACCGCTGTCGGCGGACGTCGTGACTCGGCAAGGTGACTGAAGTTTGGAGGTCAGCAGGGAGCGTCAGCAGGCCGTCTGGCTATGGCCATTCCTTGGTCTTCAGCTTATATGTTTCACCGTGCTTTTCATCCTGTGACACATCGGTCTTCAGGTCCCTGATCATCACATTCAGATCGTGTAGACTCCTATGTGAAAGTGGATGGAATGGCAGAAAATGATCCATATTCTGCCAAGCCCTCATTCACTTCCAGGGACTTCAGGTGTCAATGAACTGTGTGGCTGAATGCATTTGACCTTCCCGGTTTCGGCTCGCACCGGTTTCGGCCCTCCTCCACGTGCCAGGCGACTTTGGCCAGATGTGTTGGCAAACCCAGACGTGTGGACTCAGCACGAAAGGTCCGAAAATCCGTCCGGGCCGCGTCCGAAACCTCTTGAGTAAAAGATAGGTACTTTTGGTGTCGGTGCCTCTATTTCTGGAATGGATCGTTTCAAGGAACTGCCAGAAAGGTCTCAAATGACCTTCTTGTGCCATGGTCCCAAGGCATGGCAGCATGGCCTATCCCCCATTCGTCTCGTGTCAGGAAGCCCAGTTGGCTCAATCGGCGTCCGTCTTTCCGTCTCTCAGACCGGTCGAGGTCGAGTCATTGGACCGGGCGTGTTGAACAAAGAGAAAACACATTGGTCCAATGGTTTCTGGTTTGGGGTCCAAAAGGCCAACGACAACGCTGCATGGCGTGGGGGTTCGGAACGCCACAGTAGTCACCACGAGCGATGCGCTCGTGACTACTGTGGCGCCCAAAAAAAACGCCACACTTCGCCACAAGTGCTTCCGGAATTTGGGGACAAGGTGTGAAGGCCGATTCTTCCAAGAAGAACCATGGCATTCTAGGGGTCACATGGAGTTGGTTTGCTTCGTCCCATCTGCTTCTCCCAGTTGAGAACCAAGTCACATCCCCACACCTCCCAAAGGCTTGGGAACCCTCAACCTTCGGTACTACAAGAAGAAGCTTTTGAAGCTGGTACTGTTGCCCTTGTTTGCTGGTTCTTGCGTCTACCCTTCTTCCGTCCGAGCCACGGGGCAGCGTCACGACCCGGACCCGCCGCGACGGTGGTCGCAAGGTGACTGGCCAATCCCATGCGTCCCATGGCGCCGGGAGAGAAAGCATGACCCTGCCCCCTGCGTTCAAAGGTCCCATGTGAGGCGGGATGTATATCTTCGATCCAATCCTGGTATGATCCTGGTATGATCTGGGAAGATCCTACCGGATTACAACATCTCTCGCATTTTGCCTGTCTTCGTCATGGATTTCAATTTCGACCACATATCGTGCCATCATTTGGCCTCAGTCAATCCCAAAACAGGAGCCATTGCCCTGGCTTTGACATGTCTTTGGGAGGGAAAAAGCGGAGCTGCTTGGGCCGGAAAACGCAAAGGATTGCAGGAAGTCGTTTTCGATGGAAAATGCCGCATCTCCACCACTGAAGTATGTTGTTTTTTCTTTCGATATTTGAAGATTGAACACAATTCCAAACACACGAACCAGGTGAAACACCCATCAAAACCACCATGTTCTGCACCGTGGACCTCGAGGACCTGGTTTTCTTTCTAGGCAGATCGTATCTAGTAGGTCGGAGGCCATCGCTATGAGGTTGGAGGTCGTGTCGCAAGCCCAAGCGCAAGCGCCTCCTCGGCTTTTTGGACCAAACGCTTCACGAGGCTCAACTGGTTCGGTCACCAAAGAAAAGGCAGCAGCTTGTAGGGGACCTTCCTTGGCGCAGAGAGGCTCAACTGCTTCGATCTCTTCTAACCCTATGGATCACATACCCTCTGACAGGGTGATTGGAGACACTTTTATGTAGGCTTGGAGGGTCCAGTCGTACGTTCTGAGAAGGTGGCAGTGGATCCCTGAGTAAGACAGACACAAATCTGTCCAAGAGCAGTGTACCGCACAAAGCATCGCCCAAAACTGCTGGAATTGTAAATGTGTGGGTTTGGAATAATAGCAATATATAACAATAACAACAACAACAACAACACCAACACCAACCGCAGCAGCAACAACAACCAACGTCTAACAGGAAAATGTCGATATGCTTCTATATGTCCACATAGGCTCATATAGTCTCTGTTCTTGTATCCATTGACTCATTGAAAACTTTCATACCCGAGACGCAGCGCAGCCCCTAGGCTGCCTGGTGGCGGGGTGAGTGAAAAACCAGGTGAAAAACCACCAGGTCCAGTCAGTTCAAGACCGGGATTTGGCCGCCCAGTGCTTTTGCTTTCACATGCTGCAAAAAAAAAGACAACACTTCCTCTGTTCGATGCCCGTGAGGTCACCAAGGCTCTTGGAGTATTTCTCCCACGCCTCCGGTCGAGCCTGCTTAAGCGCCTCTTCCTCTTCGGCCAGCTTCATTGCCAGGACACCACCCAGCGCCAGCGTGAAGACGGCGCGGGGGATGCTGAGACCGGCCATGACACAGGCACCAGCACACATGATCAGAAAGCCGGTATAGGTGGGCGAACGAACCTCAGGAGAAGACTTCGCCCTCCTCTGCCTCCATAGAGAGTTTTGGGGGAGAGTTGTTGGTCGGCATTTCCAACTACAAAATGGGACGAGCAACGTTTCTTCTTCTTTCAGGAGACTCCAATATCTGTACAAGGCTCAGGGGGTGGGGTTGCGGAAAAAAACACCATCTGAACATATCTGAACCACGCTCACACAGTAGGTCTCAGTTGTATTGCAAGGTCTTCACCGAAAAAATCTGATCAAGACATTCGCCCCAAAACGCACCCCCCATTCTATCGATGCACAAAATCCGAAAGCCAAACCACCGAACTTAAAGGTTCTTTGGGGGTTCAGATGGTACAGAGTTTTTTTCCAGCAACGGTAGGGATATTTGCAGGAACGGTATAAAACCGAAAACTTGAATAGAACAATGGAAACTCTCATGCAAGCTGAGTCAAACCCAATCTCTTCGCAACAAACAGCCATTCCCCAATAGATGCAAGCACTCAGCCAATGTTTTTTCTGGGCGGGTTCACTTGACCATCTGCTCGGAACCATCATCCTTCATCTGTTCTAGTGACTAGAATTTCCTGAATCCCTCACAGGGAGCCCAGCCAGTTGAACCCTTCGAGCTTCGCTTCGTGGGGGCCAACCCTTCGCCATCGGCCAACTTCACGGCAACACCGCTTTCGGCAACACCCAATAGGAGGGAAAAACGAAAGATCGGGAGGTGGTTTAAAGGACAAATGTTTATCATAGACTTTATCCCACCGTGCTTTTTTTCCCCATGAAGCATCTGCGTTCCATTGCATTCCCATGTTTCGGGTGTTCCAATCTATCCCCTCCCTCTGCCATGTGGCCACGCCAAAGGGTCCCGTCGTCGCCAGCCGGCCTTCCTCCATGGCCATGGTCACCGACACGATCGAGACCAATCCTGGGCAGCTGCGAGTGGGAGAACTCGAGCGCGCGATCACCCTCGTTCCTTGGACCAGGTGTGGGCGTTTTCTCGACGGACGGGTCGGTTGAGACGGACTCCGTGGGTCGATCTTCGATCGGCGGAGCCAGTTACAAGTTTGGTGTGAAACCTGGAAGGTCTGAGGCCTAGCCTAGATATAGGGGACACAGAAGTCCTTCTTTGCCGCCAGAATCCAGCCTATAACATGTCCGCTGCTCGTCCGAAAACCCGCGCGCCCTCCGTTCGTTAGCGCGAGCCTTGAACGCTCCAATTCGAGCTGAGAAGCCCAGCAGGAAGCCCACCACGGTGATACCCAGGCCTACCTTGAAGACCGAGTCCGGCGAAAACCTCACCGGGGACGGGCCACCGGTCTTTTGGGCGCGTCACCCCTCGGACCGAGGCGACGGCCAAGCCAGCGAAGGGCTAGGGCCGCTAGGGGGATCGGAGGGGACGGTGCTTGAAGAACTTCGAAGAGTTGACTAAAGGACTTTCCGAATGGAACCCTTGTAGAAATGGAACCTTGCAGCTGGCGCGACAGTGAAAAAGAAGGAACTCCCTCCCCTCTGGTGCGCGGGAGGGAAACTGTTCGTAATTCCGAGATGCTCGTCACTTCCAATCTTCCAAATTGCTCGAACCAGCGCAGGGGCCCACACGAAACAACAACAGATGCCACTGATGCCAACGTCACAAAACCAAACGTCCACCCCCGAACGCGTCGTCCAAAAAGAACGACCCAACGAGCTAAGCTGCAAGATCTGCTCCAGATCCAGGTGCTCCGTCGGGTACTGAACCGGCAGAAAGGCCCCAGCCACACCTCAATCGACAATCGACTTCATCGGCTCGATCGATGCCAACTGGCTGTGCGTTCTTGGCGTCTCAAAACCTTGGCAAGCGTTTGGCCAGGAGGGTTGGCCACAAAACCATCCAAAACTGGAAGTGAGCCGCAACATGCCTAATCAGAATGAGGTGAAAATGGCGAAGCGCGAAATGAACCTTTCACACCGAAACAAACGATCTGTTTTTGGCTCGGTCATCCCGCCCATGGCACTCTGAGAAGGGCTCAATTGGCACCGGATTTAAAGAAAGACAGGCACCATGTAGCCTCTCTGATCTGGGCCAGGGCACATGCCCCCTGTGCAGGGAGGAACGAATCGCCAGCTTTGTCTGGGAAGGGTTTCACCTCCTTCTTCACGCCTTTGCTGACTTTCTTCTTGGAGCTTTTCTTTGAGCTTCCTCTGCCCTTGGACTTTTGCGCGCTGGTCGCGGCCTCAAAGAGGCTTGCCTCATACGAAAGGATCGATGCGAAAAGGCACAGGGAAGCTCCACGGTGCAGACGAGGTAGCGAACGGCCGAAACTGGACATATGCTTATCTGCACGTGTCATGAGGAAAAGGTACGATTGGTAGGTCACCGAACATCTCCATGTTTTGCTCACGAAGGTACAAAGCCCCCCTAAAAAACTCTCGGCCAAACATGGCCAAACCCTTCGGCAAGACTATCTCCTTGCGGTACAAGGGCAAGGAAGGCTGTAAGCAACATGGGTCTATCAAATCTCTGATTATTGCACGCGACCACCCTGGAACGCAGTAAAACTGCGAAAAGACGTAGAAAGGTCAAGAAAGCCTGCCAAAACTGTGAAAGAGCCACCTTGAATCTCTTTTTGGAGGCTGTGAAGCCATGTTCATCGGCTCTAGAGCCAACATGAGCCAAAGAGCTCAATATGGCACAATCTCTCCTCCAAGTCCGAAACTAACCCAATCCGATCTCTCACTACATCTGCTGCCCGGTCTCCTGCTGTTTCTTGGGTGCTGCGAAGGCTTCAACATCAGCGTCTGAGGACCACAGCGCCCTGTGCTCAAGCGCACTGGGCCACCACAGCACTACCAGTGCGGCGAGGAGAAAGCAGCGCCGACCCCCACGAGCCATGCCGCGGCGGGCTATGCGGCGCGTCTGGCTCACGGACGTTTGATGGGAATACGATTTGGAAGATGCCTCGTCAAGAGAGTTTCAGGGTTAGTCGGGTATAGCATAGACGCTGGCATCTTGAAGAGATGAACGTGATTCTTCCTCATGACCGGATTCGATCATGCCCATGTTTGCAGACATGGATGTCAAAGCGGTTGCTCCGGGCAACTCAGCAGCGATGTCATAGCGTGGTTTGGCCTTCCCTTGGGACAAAGCATGGTGGTTTTGGCAACGATTGAAGAGGTCCAAGAGCCAAGTTGGTCGGTTTAACATGGTTGAGCCGTACCAAAGTTCTATAGGACAGTTCGGAGTCAATGTGAACCATCTAACTGCAAAGAGCAGCTGCTGGAGCTCCCATTTGGAGCTGCCAGAGTCATTCGTCCCAACACCTCAGACGCTCCTCCCCAGTAGGTTTCATCACCCCAGCGCACCAGGCTGCGCCACGCGACGCAGGTTTTTCTCTTTTCACGTCTTCGCTGTGCTTGCACTGCCACCCAGCAGAGTAGCGATGTCACCAAAGACCTCAAGAGTGATATCTGCTCGGCTCTAGGCTTTTAGCCCCCAAAAGTGACGAGCACATGTTCACAAACCAACAAAAAAGGCTTCTGGAAGATGTTCTTGTATACTAGTACCAGGCTGTGATTTATATGTGTTGGAAATTTTATGTCAAGCAAGCTAAACACACTCAACTTCAATCAAGCTGGATCAGTTGCAAGGTTCTTGGGCTGCGCAAGGCAACCAAAATGAACTCCCACAGTCAGCTCCTAACCCTCTAAGACATGACATACACAGAATAATCCAAGAATAACATAGAATAACTATATATCTACAAACCTGCCCTTCATCTCTGTCTTGAACCACTCGATTTTGTTCCATTCAACACTCTTCAACACTTCATCCCCGTCCCTTCCCCCCATCAACCTCAAACCTTTCAAATTTAAGTAAAAGAAAAACCAACCCAACCCCATCCCTTCCCCTGGCCCCCCCCCACTCAAAGCTTCTGCTCCACTCACTCAGCTGCACCAGCTCCCTCCCCTCGGCTCCCGGGCCGAGGCTCCCAGGTCGCCCGGCCGCTCGGCGTTGCGGCACTGCGCCCGGCGCTCCGCGAGGTCCTTGGGCGTCTCCGACTGCGCGTCCCGCACCGAGCGCTGAGCGCCTGGCGCACACCAGGAAACCGGCTTTGGTTCGGGGGAAGACGGAAGAAGTGGAATTTTGGGCAGAAGAGATGTCTTCTTCTTGGTTCCATGGGCTTTTTCTCCATGTTCTTCATGGATCCGAGTTCGAGTCCGGCATCCGGAGTCCGGAGGTTTTCACAAAGAAGAACAAGTCAAAATCACATCTGCAAGTCCTACAGTTCCAATCCAGGCCGATGTGAAGTAAACACGCTGGCGCGGCTGCGCGCCGCGCGCCAGCGTCGGGTCCCATCGTTCTTCATTTGAAGTGAGGGTCGCAGGGACCGCAGGTCGAGGGCCAACATAAGGAAGAACACTGCACGAAGTAGCAGATCTGAAAGCAAGACCCATTAGATCTGAAAGCAAGACCCATTACACCCACCACAAATGGGCAACCAAACTTCAATGGGCTGTCTTCTCCTCGGATGCCATGCTCCAACGAAGGGACACCACTGCACCAACCACCGCAGAGGTGAAGTACCTTCTTGAAAGCTCGAACCCTTACGCTCGATGCGTGGACGAAGCCACGTGTCCTGCGTGTCGCACGTGGGTCAACACCTGAAACCTCTGCCACTCGTGTAGCCTTCATTTCCCCTTGTAGCTTGACTCCCTGCCACTCTCTTCAGTTCTTCCCCGTCGCACACATTCGTGCCTAGCTCTAGCAGCTTCAGCACCATTGATCTGAGCGACCAAACCATCGGCATGGAGGGAGGAGAGGTGTCCGACGTGCTTTGAACGAGCTGCTGCCGTGGAGGATGCTGGTTGATGTTCACACTGGTACAAGTAGAGGGAAATGTTGGGAGAAATCAGAAACTCCAGCAGTTCGAAGGGGCCATGAAACGAAGTCAGTGTGCAATATATCGAATAAGATATACCAACACCTTCCAAGGGGTCTCCGATAGATCACCTGCGGATCTCCATGTTTCGCACCCGTTTGAAGGTCCAGGTATACATATTAGACTCTGTGTGTGGGTGTGGGTGATAAATGACATGTTTTCCATGCTTCAAACCCATCAATCGGGTTTTCGGGCGTTTCTCACCGGAGCGCCTGTGGCCATTCACCACCGCCCAGTGCAAGGCAGTACGACCCCAGGCATCTCGAGCCTGGGCCAGTAAACAATGAGCAAACAACGAATGGTCGACCACTGCGGCGGCTGCAAGGCACGGTTCCGCATGTGGAAGCAGTTGAAAGCTCCTTCCTCCCACGCTGAAAAAACCGGGCGGGGGGCGGGTTGGCCAATTCTAAGACATCTTCATTGAGTGTCTGCTGCAACATGGGAAAGCCACAGCGACGTCGCTTCGAACTGAGGACTGGACATCCAGCTTCAGCGCCTCATGCCCGCCAGGACTGCGGCCTTTCTTTCCTTTGCCCCGCCACACGGGCGCAGCAAGAAGTTCCTCCACAAGGGCTCCAGGAGCACCGGATCGCGCGGCAAAGTGCAAGGCAGTTTGTTGATCTCTGGTCGTGGCATCCATCCTCGCACGCGCGGCAAGCAGGAGCGCCAGCACCTGAAACTGTTTCTCCATGGGTTGTGAGCCATAGAAGGGGTAGATCTCAAGACTAGTTTGTTCACTTCTTACTTTGCAACTCACCAGGGGACCCAGAGTGATTTTGGAACATGTAACATGTCCCTTCATGTTCGCAGCACCCATGTTTTTACCAACAGCTCCTTAACGGTTCTTCTCCGAGCCTCTAAAGACCCTCCTTGGGCTGCCAGGTGCAACGGTTGCACTTGCTTGCTATCCATACCCATCGCAGAGGCTTGTGCTTCGAGCAGAAGTTTCACCACTTCCGCATGGCCGTTCATGCAAGCAGCATGTAATGGTGTGCGCCGCCCAGCCACACAGGCTGAGACCAAAGTAGTTGAATCACGCTTCAAGAAAGATTGTACAACTTCAATAGCACCAACTCCGGCTGCATGGTGAAGAATCTCTGACATAGAAAGCTCCCCATCGAATGTTTTCTTCTCCCCCTCCTCCTCCTCTTCATCCTCCTGCATGTCCTGCCACAACCAATAACAGCTAGGCTGTTAATTCAGCTTTTCAGTTCAATCTGTTGCCTGAGACAAAGCATCTTTCAAAGAGAATTTCTCACTCTCACTTGGTGTGGCACCAGAAATCCCTCCTCCGTCACTTCAGGATCTGAAAACCACGAACCCAAAGAAGATCTCTGCAAATGCTGAAGAAAGTCCACCAAGCATGGCCGATTCAGCAAGTGCAGCGGAAGCCTCACCCCGTGCGAGACGTCGAGGCACGGCGCTGGGCGCTTCATCGTCCAGAAAGCATCCATTCCACCAGGTTGGAAAAAGCATGAAAAAGGTGTTAGTGGTATCACCACAATGGCAGGGTCAATGGCACAAAACTGACAGGTATGCCGTTTTTGACTACATTGGGGTATGGGCACAGGGGGTAGCACAACACGAAACATTGGTAGGGCAGCCAGCGCCTAGGTGGCCTGGCCAAGAAAACCAGCAACAAAAGCCGGTCAAAACTTGTGGGGGGATGATGAAGGATGTGTTCATTCATTGCAGACCTCCATCTTTCAACCCCTTGCGTTTCATCACTGTCCGGGGGCCGCCGCTTCTTTCGCGCCGGTCGGGGCCGCCGGGCCAGGTGACAGAGGCTCTGGAAGCTCTTCCCCAAATTCACCACTTGAAGCACCAGCCAGGCACCTGTGCAGCCAGAAACAGATGGAGAGAGCTGGGACCTCTCTTGCGACCAGGTCTATGTCTGGCTGCGGCTTGCTCCTTTGATCGAATCAAATGATCATCTTTCCAAACAGACTTCGAACAGACTTCGCCTGGTGGCCAACTGCTGACAGACTCGCAAAGCAGCCATGGAATCGCCGCCGAGCGCCAAGAAGTTTGCATGCTTCGAAGCACAAGGGACTTGTAGCACCTGCCGCACGCGGGTCGCGCGGGGGTGCGGCCAGGGCCTGATCCAGGAGTGTTTTGGCCTCCATTTGGTCCATTTGGTAGAACCCATTGTGAGGAATCTGGCAGTTCCTGTTCACCAACTCAGATAGCATTGTATATTTGTGTGGCTCTAGAAGATATGACCGTCTGGGCCCCTTGCTAAACCAACGCAGCTTGTACATGGATGGTCACCCTGCAAGATAGCTTTTTCACCCAGTCTGCGTGTACATGTGTGCTCTTCGGATGTACATCTGATCATGCTTGTCACTTGTCACTTCCAAGATCAAATCAGGTACAATCAGGCTAGAAAAGATCGCTCTCACCATGGGTAACTCACCATGGGTAACTTGGGATTCAGGACAGAAACATACAGAAACCATCTCATCAAAGACATGGAGTCCCATGAATTCCCATTGGCCGCGTCGGCCTCGCGCCAAGCAGCTGCAATCATCTCTGCTGACTCAGAGCCTTTCAGCGCGCCGCCTGATGCATCCTCCCAGGACAGGGGCCGTTCGGCCAGCTGCCTGCGCGAGACCTGGAGGATTCACATTCGACCAGGAGGGTCTAGTCACTTGAAAGAATTGGCGGGTCTGGAGGGTCTGGAGATGAAAAAGCCGGACTTCATGGATAGATCATTATGGCACTTCAGTACGTTGTTCCCATGTTCAACTTCTTACACCTGGATCTTCCAACTATGACAAATTGGTTGCATTGTCATCGAACAACAGTCCAGTTAGGCAACAAAAAGTTGGCATTCGTTGGCAAGATCTATTAGTTTGGGGCAAGCTATTAGTTCTATTGGTTCAACTGGGGTGGCAAGATCTATGGGTGTCAGTTCAAAGACAAGCTATTAGTTTGGGGCCAAAACCCCGGTTGAATCCTCCGACTCTCCGCCTCTGCCAGGCTGCCACGAAGTCGTGAAGCAGCGCAGGAACCATGCCCAAAACCTCTAATTCATGTAGACTCTTGATTCATGACCCCTTCATATGGAGTGATTAATGAGTCTCTCTACATGATCCTAAGTCTTTATAATTACTAAACAACGTGCTGTGGTTGTACGCACTCCAATGATCCTCTCCCATCTCTCTCCCCATCTCTCCTACCTTGCCACTGGTGGTGAGCGGCATCGCATCGATGGCCACCACCCGCGCTGGCACCATGTGCTTCGGCAAGCGCTCTGCGGCGAGCCGCCGCAGCCAGGCGCAGCTCACGCGCCGCACCGCCTCGGAGGGATCTCCTGAGACGGTGAGTCACGCGGAACTGCGGAACCGGGTCGAAGTGAGCTTCGTTCGTTGTCGTTCGATTTGGGAGGTGGGAGCTCGAAAGATGAGCGAAAAAGCACATGGAAGTGATGAAGAAATGAATCATGAAGCAGGGAGCAAATGTATGATCATCGCAGGGAGCCTCCAAAAAGCACGATCCCGAGATGTGGGAACCGCGCTCTCCCGAGCCGTGGGGGGGAGCCTGTGGACCCGCTCCTCGTAAGACGCAATAGATCAGCAGCATGCGATCGGCCAGCACCGCTGCCAGGGACACCAACAACTCAGGCCTCGGGCGCCGATGCGAACGATGCACCACGGACCGTGGCGAAAGCCAGGAGGAGATCCGCACTTCGTAAGACGACACATATTGGGTTGCCCCGTTGAAAGGTGCTGGGTTGGTACTCCTAAGCAAGGGGCAAACAGGTACTATAGGTACAAGTACCATCAAATACCTTCAACTACCTCTCGTCATATCATATGCTTGAGCAAAGCCTTGTTGTGGTGCCACCCACCGTTGTAATTACCCCGAAAAGACCCTTGCGGAGAGTCAAGAGTATTGTGCTTGCCCAGAAAACCATCGTGGCACCCGCAGTCTTAAAGATCTCTTTGAAAAGGAAACACAAAAACCACCAACCAGGACCTTCTCAGTGACCTTTTGAGATCCCAGAATAAGGTCACTTAGGCCTTGAAAAGGTCACTTTGACGCGTACGCCAGTGGTAGCGGAGAGCTAGTTTTCCAACGAGGCAGACATTGCAGGTAAGTGTGGCGGGACCCCGAAGCTTGGGCCGCGGCGATTGAACACTATGGTGAACTTGAACAAGGTACTTCACACTCAAACTGGAGGTAACACTTGATCAGCTCCCCCAAATCTTTGTTGGTCAAGTTCACCCACCAAGTGGTGTCTTCCCTAAATTGGCTGGACGCCTTCTTTGAGCGCAACCGAGAGTTCGGGTTCATCTTTCGCCTCTCGAGCTCAGAAGCTTCATCCCAAAGGCTTAATCGGGAGGTCCTCAATGTTTCCTCTAGAGCCCCATTGCTGCAGCTGACGTCGGCCTTGGTGAGAGCATCAGCCACCATGCGGGGGTGTGGTGACCATCGGATCGTGGAGCCTGCTCTCTTTAGAGCTTCAAGCACTATCGCTATTTCTATCGCTGTGCGACGATCTTGTCTTGAGGGTGGGTCTCCTTTCACTAAGCTGTCGAAGAGGGGCTTTGCGTCGGTGATGGAACATTGGCCTAGTCTTTCTCTCAACTCGCCTTGCTCGTTGAGTACTGCCAGGTATGGTCTGGTTTGATTGTGCCATTCCGATCTACTGACATCTCCAAACAGCACATCTCGAACAATCATCTGAAGCCACTCGACTTCTGACAAGGACTGTGAGAGAGCCAAGGTTTCACTCGCCAGAGTGGAAGAGACTTTCCTTTTCAACCGGGCTGACCTCCAAGAGACTGTTGACACCTTCACCCTTCGGGAAGCACTGGGAACCTGATCTGCAATGAAGACTATCCAGGCTCCTTGCACAGTGTCAGTAAGCTCTCCTGGGTCATCTGGCACTGGTGGTTTACTTCCAACTCCCCCGGCGTCAGACGCCGATATGAACAACATCTTGTCATTGTCAAATCGATGAAGAACAAGAGGCTGAGAGGCTGTTCCCTTGATGTGTTGCACCATTCGATTCAAGCAACCTAGATCGTACAGTGAGGCTTTGTTCAACCTGGATGAAAGGATGCTCACTGCTCCAGCGGCTTCAGGCCTCGTCTGGTGTGCAAGCCAATTCACCCTGTACAACATGGATCTGTACTGCTCAAACAAGTCTCCCGTAAGCTGTTGCTCTTTGTTGTTGTAGTGCCCCTTCGGAGCTTTGATTGTGTGCAATTTTTCGAGGATGTATTTCTCCTGGTCCATGAGAACTCTGTCAGATTCAAATTTCACATGTCGACCCGCGAAATCAGCCTCTCCAAACTCCCACTTGCCGAATTTGAAACGTTCGGTGAGCTTGGTCCGAAGAAGTTCAAAGTATTCCGGAGTGGCAGCAATATTCAAGTCATCAACTTCTATTAGAACAAATGCTACAATCTTGCCTTTGTCCTCCTTGATCAGCCAGCAGGACTCTAGGAGACAAGGCCTGAATCCTAGAGCGCCGAAAAACTCCTGCAGTGTCTCGTGCCACAACCAAGGGGCGTCGTCAAGACCGTATATTGGGGCGATGATCTCGATCAAGGCTCCTTCGGGCAGGTTCAATCCTGAGCAGGGTTCAGCAAACAATCTGCCTTGTGGTCTCTTCAAAGGTTTTGATTGGCAAAAAGCTGATTGCACATCTGCAAATGAAATGAGGAAACCCATGTTCAGCACCAACTGAAAAAACAGATTGATGGCTTCTGCACTTGGCATAGGTGAAAAAGTCTTGAAGCTTCCGCTGTCTGGATCGTGGTGCCCATGAAGACACCAACGGCTTTTGAACTTCCAATTTCCAACGCCAGGCATGGGTTTCTTTCGACGGATCATTCTGGAACTCATGATCCTGGTTGAGAACTGCTTTCTGACATCTGACGCCTCCTTTCCGGTGATCACCCTAGCAGCTTTCAAGTCTTCGATGGTTTTCCACTCCAACGCATCTGAGACTTTGAAGCCCTCGATCTCTTCAGGAGAGGCACTGCTCATGTCGAATTCAGAGTTCTTGGGGTTCACTGGTTTGACCATCAGGGAAACTTTTGTCGTCTCGCATGCGCTGAAGCAAAACAATTCGGGCTCTCTATCTAAGCCCGGTGAGGCTTGGTCCGGGAGCTCCAAGCCAGTTCTGGAACTGGAGGACGTTGAGTCTGGTAACAGAGAGTCGGTGGAGGCTGCCGCTTGGCTCCGCAGCGTTTGCAGTCTCTCCTGTCTGTCGGCTCGATCTAGACGTCTCAACTCCTTTTCTGCTATCTTTTGAAGCCTCAGGTTCTCGGCTTCATCTACTTCAGCTACACGTTGCCTGACAGTTCCTGATTGGTCTAGGACTGAGCTGCTTGTGGACACTCTTCGTCTCTTGTCGGGTTGCTCTTCTGGACCTGGCTCCATGCTTGGTTCGTCAACTGTTTGCTCTGAGTGACTTGTTCTTCTAGAGACGGTGGCTCTCGACTCGGCTTCCGTGTTGGGAAAGGGAGAAGTGTGCCTCAACAACTGGCCAACGCCAGGTCCTGTCACTGGGGCCTCCTCTGGGATGGTGGGCAGTGGGTCCACTGCCCTAGCCTTGGAGGGTCTGGAGATCACAGGCGCTTCGCTCACGGACGGGTGCGCCTGGGATGGGTCTGGCACTTCTTGCGTCAAAGCCTCATCGGGAGGTGAACCTTCCATAGACACGTCTAGAGCTCCAACCTTAGCACGTTGCCCAGCCTGAAGAAGACCTTGTAGCTCGCCTGCTCTAGCTAGCTCTGCTCCAACAGACTCGAAGTGTGTGGCTGGTCTAAGTTGGTCTGTGTTGCATTTCCAAAGGCGAGATCGCATGGAAACAAAGACCGTGTGTCCAGTTTGCAGAATGACCACCCCAGGACCAACCCGTCTGGACCGTGTAATATGACCACCGCCACCGGATTGTGTTGACCTTCGCCAAACCAATACCCACTGACCTGGTGCCCACTGAACTTGTCGGTGTGGTCTGTGTGCCGTGCTCAAGCGAACTTTTTCCCTTGAGGTGAACTGAACGCAAAGCTCTCGAGCTCGTTGCCTAATGCGCTGGGACTTGGCGAATGCTGTTCCCGCAGTATCCAAGTCGAAGGGCTCGGCGACCATGTCCTGCCATGGTACCTCTTGACTTGCTTCACTCAAAAGATCAAAAGGTATTGAAGGGTTCGCTCCAAAAACAAGCTGGTATGGGGAATAGCCCCCCACATTGAACCATCTGTTCTTGCTGGCAACTAGGGCTGACATCAGTTCGTGGAGATCGTCTTGTGTCCTCACGATGCTACTTCCGGAGGAGAGTTCACTCTCGGCTTTCTCTTTCAACCAACCTCCGTGTCTCTCGACACGGCCGTTCTGCCAAGGAGATGCTGCATCGCTCACCACCTGAAGGATCCCAAATTGCTCCAGGTGCCGTTCGAAGGTGTCCTTGAACTCTGGACCGCCGTCACACATCAACACTTCGGGGTTGCCGAAAGGCTTCAGCCAGGTTGAGAGGAAGGCTCTCCAAACGCTCTTGGACGAGGGAGTACCTACTTCACACTCCTTAATCCACTCAATTTGCTGAAAATTCGTTCCGTGACAGATAATGTTCAGGAAAGCCATGGTCTTGCCCTTCATTGCAACGTAAAAAATGTCAACACCTATGTACCTGTTGAAGGAAAAAGTACGAGGCATGGCTGCTTTCCTCCGCTCCACAGGTTTCTTTTGTCGCTGACATTGTTCACAGCTGAAGTCATCTTTGACATAACTCATCACTGAGTTCTTGGCTCCTGCTGACTTTAGGAGGACCAACATTTGCTCTGTCGAGATGTGGCCTAGGTTGACGTGAAGAAGTTTGACTTTCTTCACCTGTTCTGCGGTCAGCTGCTCTTCCTCTCTTCTTGCAAGCTCCCCGGCTGCTGGAGGAGAAGGGGCATCTTCTTGTTCGTCGTCCTCCGCGTCGGCCTCAAGGTCCTCGCTCACTTCGGCAGGAAAACTACCCAGGCAGCAGCTCAAAGGAACGGCGGACAAAGAAAAACCTTGTAGAAGGAGGTCAATCAGCTGATCTGGATAAACCCGTGCATGATGCGGCAATCCATTCTGCAGTTGAACGTGTTCATGCTCTCTATTGCACTGGTACTCCGATAAGAGGGCGGCTAGTCCCAAGTGGTTGGTCACTAAGGAAGTGTCTTTCCTGGATGGTCCCTCAGGTCGCAGTCTCAGTCCAGTCATGCATTGATGGAAGGAAACTCTGATCACGGCCTCCTGGCGAAGAAGCCAAGCCATGCCATGAGTGCTCCAGCTGCTCGCCGAGGTGGGTTGCTCCAAGCAAAACCACTTGCCACTTGACAGTTGGTATTCGGCCACCTGTATGCAGAATTGAAGCATAGCTAAACCTCTGGTCTGAAGCTTCTTGGCCTCCTTGGGGTCCATGCGGCTCCAATTGGTTTCCATGAGAGCGCAAAAAGCCTTGCACTCCGGAGACATCATGACTATGTCTGGACTCTGCTCTCTCATGACCTTCCAGAAAAAAACTCTATCTCTGGCACAGAAAACATCCCAACCGTTCTCCAGGTCGAAGGCTGGGGGAGTTGTTGTCCTCATCCCATGATCGGCGGCTCTCTCCGTTAACCTTGGTGGAGAGAACAATTCCAGCAGCTTGAGAGGCCTTTCCCGCGACTCTCCATCTCCATCGCCATGGCTGAACACTTCCCGGAGGTCGGGACAACTAATGGGGCATCGGAAACTAAGCCCCGAAGGGCTAAGGTGCGCGCCGGAAACGGGGGGCGCGGTTCTTGCCTCTTCCGCTTGGCTGGCTGTTTGCTTTTCTTTTGATCGGCTCTCTGGCTCTTGTTCTTTTCTTAAAATGCCATCAGGCTCTTCACCGTCCGCCTCCACTTCTCTTGGCTGGCTCCCAGGCTCTTGACCTCCAACCTCCGCTGTGAACTCGATCGAGCCGCTCTCGTAGAGCGAATTAAACAATTGAAACATGCGTTCGTGGTGCTTCTGTAGTTCAACTCGACAAGAATTGACCTTTGAATTAGTGTCTACCTCGTGATTCAAAAAAGTCTTGACAGTCTCTGCGACGATGCGTTTCTGTGCACGAGTCAACTGAACCTCCCAAAAATCACTGAACTCACCGGCATCGAAGTCAAGTTTCCAAGAGGGAGAACAGAAGATGAGAAGGAGGTGATCCCCGATCGAACAAGTGAACCAACTCGTGACTTCCGAACACATCATCATACGCAAGCTAGCCCTGCCCAGAGTGCAAAAGAACCATTGAGAGGCATCTATACAATTAAGGCTCAAATTCTTCAAACTAGGCAAAACTGTGAAACTTTGGGGCGTCTTCCTCACTCTCAGCGCTCGTCGGGGCTCCGAGCCTCCGGCAAAACATCGTCCCACTCCTCCTCCATCTCGCGATCCATCGCAGGCGACATGATGGCCTGTTGCTGGGCATGCATGTTCATGATGGTCTGTTGCTGGACCATCCAAGCCTGCATCTGCTGCTGGGCCATGGACATCTGCTGAACGGCATCCATAACCGGACCCAGCAGCTGGTTCATAGTGGTCGTCGTCGAAGCCATCACTTCCTGAGACTGCTGCTCCATCGCGGCCCTCAACTCCACGGAGGAGATGCCCTCGCTCGAAGAGGAAGCTCCGGCCGGCGGTCCCATCGCTGGGACAGGAACTGGCACCGGCACGGTCTGGTAGGCAATCGCCGTCGTCCCCTTCCGAGAGGCCTTCTTCCCTGGCGACGGCGCGGCTGGAGCTCCTGCCGTTCCGTACCTCGGGAAGCGAATCTTGGTGCAGCATTTCACGCATCGTTTCCATTCCCCATACTGGTTGCGGCCCGTCGCAACTGAGGTGATGGGGTGAGGGCAGTGTTCCGCAGGAGGGATCGCTCGCTGGTCCGCCAGTGGAGGCGAGGCGCCGTCCTCCAAGAGCGGCACAGGGATGTTGCCCGGCCCATGGTGTTGGAACAACATCTTTCGAGTCATCTGAAACCATCGAGCCGGGGGAGGCCCCGTGCTCTGCACAGCACGTCGTCGGGCTTCCATCATTTCTGACGGAGCAGACGCCATGAGGATCGAGTGAGGATCGCTCAAACAGGCTTTCTTTGCTTGAGGCTGCATCGGAGCGGCCAAGGCTAGCTTCCCTTGACTGAGTTGACGAGAAAATGGAAATGAACACCCCTCTCTTACTAACAGCGGTTCTAGTTATCTGTTCCATCTGTGTTGCGAGATCCCGTTTAACTTCATCGACGTTGTGTGAGGCAGCGTTTGTTTCCTTTGGAAAAACAGATGGAGGTCGATCTGAATGAAAAACGACATGCCAAGACGATCGGAACGGAAAGCTTGCGCACAACTCATGACTGACCTCTTCGAACCTCTTGCCTGAAACACAGCAAGTGGGAATGCAAAGTGCTGGTCGTCCGGTCCAGTCTGTTGTCCAACCCTCTTGATTCCTCTGACCTAAAGCCTCAAGAACCAAATTTCGTTCACTCTCTGCCACGGACGAGGCAGCCATGTATGCTCTCTCGACGGCGGGCTCCGGGGCATTAAAAGCACCGGGAGAAAGATTGAAGGCCTTCTGTACCTCTGGCGGCACAGGAAAAGGGCCTCCTTCCCATTTGGCAATGTCAATGGTGCGATGTCCGGAGGGTAGCCTGTTCATTTTGGCTTCCGTTCCAAAATTCTTGAATGCTATCTGATCAGAAAACGTGTCAATGACCGTGCCTGCTCTCTCTAACAGACCGATCGACAAAAGGTGCGGGACGTCCCCTTCAATGACGATGAGCCGGACGATTCCCGGCTTCCCGCCTAAAATGCAGGGAGAAAGTGCCGTCTTCAGGGCCGTAGCGTTTCCGCCGACTCCACAGGCAGCGGGAGGCTTCTCGTCAAGCTCAATGGGCTGCAGGCCGACCTCTCGAAGACGTTGTGTCAACTGTTGGTAGTGCTTTTCACCAATGAGATCTTGAGCTGCGCCGGGGTCAATGATGGCATGACCAGCTGGCACGGAAAAGAGTGAGAGAAATGAACCAAAGTACGAACTGAAGGAAGAGGAGGCGCCGGTCTCGTCCAGTCCGAGGTACACGAAGGCGTTCAAGGGGCCCTTGGTGGAGGCATTGGCATTCATTCCACCCTCGGTCTTCTCACGCTCTGACCTGGAGCGATATGGCCTCACACACTCTTCTCTCCAGTGTCCTCGCATGCCACAGTTGCTACACCTGGTGATCTTTTTCAGTTCGGAGACTGGCAGCCTGCGGCGAGGGACTGGTCGTTCTGCTTTCTCTCCTTTGTCATCAAAATGCCTCCGGTCTTTCTTGCGAGCGGCCTTCAAGAGCTTGTTCTCACTCCAGGTTCGCTTCCGGCCTGTTTGGCCCGCTTCCCAAAGTGAGAGAAAACTCATCACCTGCTCTTCGTCCATATCTTGGGCGTCGATCTCGTCGCGAAGCTCCGGCGGGAAGTCGTCGTCCTCGTCGGAGTCATTCTCCTCGTTGAGGGAGGAGGCCATGTAGTTCTCTGTCTCGAAGAACGTCGTCTTGCCGGACTTGAAGAGGGATTCTCCTTCGACGTCAATGACCTGGAGGGCCTTCTTCACGCGCTGGTAATCAGCTTTTCCTTCGGTAAGGACACGAAGGTTTTGGGCCGATTGCTTAGACAGGTTGGCCTGCTCCTCCAACATGTATGCCTTCAGCTCGTCCGGAAGCTGGAGGTGTTGTGCCGCCATCTGAAACTGAGCGTCCCGACGAGCAGCGTACTGAGCCAAGCTTTCGTCTCCCCGTCGGCCGCCTTCATACAAAGCGGCACGCACCGAGCGACGTTTCTCGCTGTCTTCTCGCTCTCCAGCTTGATTGTCCAGGATGTTGAGGATGTCCTCCAGGTATTGCGGTCCCGAAAGCCGATCCTCATCAAGGTGCTCGAACTTCTCCTGGAGGCTCCATTCCATGGTCTTCAACACCTTCTCAGCTCTTCGATGTATCTGCACGTCCGTGTTGCGATGCCATCGTTGGATAGCCCTCTTCCACAACCTGTAGTGCTGCCATCCAGCCCAGGTGGGAGGCTCTGAGAAATCTCCCTTCGAAGAAGACCACCACTTGTCGGAACCTTGGCGCCACCTAGAGTGATCGTCACTGTAGGAACGCCAAGGGTCGGAGACCTGAAGAGGATCTGAGCGCGAATCTTGTCCGGGAACATGCGCAGTCACTCCCTGAGCAGGATGAGAAGCTGCCTCAGCCTGTCCTTGACTGCTCCGTCCAGGTTGGTCCCCACCAGTGGAATAGGACGACCAGTAGCTGCCCGTCCTAGTCCACCATCCCCCTGACCATCGATTCCACTCGGCCCACTCGTCGTCTGTCCACTCGCGCCTCGAGGGCGCCCTACCATTTTCTCTCCGAGCCTCAGGCCTGGCATCAGCATCGCCAACATCCCCTGCGAACTCATCCACCGTCTGGGCACTGTAGCCCTCAACCACCGTGTCTGGCGTAGGTCGGTCCATGGAGCTAGAACCAGGGGCTCCGCTACCACTGACGCGTACGCCAGTGGTAGCGGAGAGCTAGTTTTCCAACGAGGCAGACATTGCAGGTAAGTGTGGCGGGACCCCGAAGCTTGGGCCGCGGCGATTGAACACTATGGTGAACTTGAACAAGGTACTTCACACTCAAACTGGAGGTAACACTTGATCAACTTACCAATCCTGAAGAGGTCACTGAGAAGGTCGTGGAAGTTGATCTTCCACAGTCTCCGGCCATTGGTCCATAGTGGTCCACCCGGAAACACTGAGATAGAACGTTCCCCCTCAGAAAATACCGCCAGCTGCGACCGTTGCAAGCGCCAAGCGACGCTGCAGCCAGGAGCACCTCTTCAATCTCCCCCAGCTCCACTCGACGACCTCGAAGCTTCCTCACCAGCGGGAGCTGATTGAGCGGACTGGAGATGGCCTGAAGAAGCAACCAAAAGTGACCTTGAAGGGTCGATATAGACAGTCGATGCCTTTTTCTCAGAGGATCGAGCCTGATTGAGAAGTTGTTCTCGAGTGCTGTAAATTCTTGGAATGGGAAACATGTCAAAAGCCTAAGTGTCAAGCATTGCCAAGCCTGAGTGTCAAAAGCCTGAGTGTCAGATTTTACCCTTTGTTGGTGGAGGATTACCGATGTTTACCGATAAGAGAGGTGTGTTTGGTGGGTATAAGGACCTGCCCGGACAAGCCTTCCTGCTAGAATTGTCCCTCCCTTCCTTTGTTGGAAGCTTCCCTCATCCTGAGAAGAACATGGAAGAACGAACTAAAAGGACGGGCTTGTGATCTCCCCATATGACCTGCCACAAGCCGTCCGTGCGCGGCATGGACTGAACCGTTCCCGGCCGGGCCACACCATGCCATCCCGACGACCTAGAAGTTGCCAGCCGCAGCCTGAAGAAGGAGGGGAAAACATGGTAAAGCCTGCCGAAACATGGCAAACATATATACCTAAACATATGGTGGTGCGCCTTCATGGTGTTCATTCCTTTTGACATGGTGTTCATGCAACGCTCAGTCACGTTGCACCTGTCGCTTTCTCTCGACTTGGGTCCACCTACGGGCAGTACGGTCAAGCTACATGGTGGACACAGCCAAACCACAACCACCTCCTCCAAGTTCAAGCAAAAGAAGTCGCAGAAAAAGCCGCCGAAACCTCTCGCGAGGACACGAGAAAGGCCTTTTCCTCTGGAGTTCCGGGCCTGCATCCGACGGGCACTTCGCCACAGCCAGGTCGCCGCCTCATCCCGACGACGACATGCGCTTCTTCGAGCGTCGCGGCAACCAGCCCAGAGCCGTGCGCGCCGTCGCTCGGGGGAGGTCGCAAGCCGTGCTTCACGGATTCATCGAGCTTCGCATTTTTGGGGTGGTCCATCATGCAACTTGAGCTAGTCTGAAAAAACGGATCTTGGGTGTAGTGCAACTTCCGTCTGAAGAAAGACACGAGTCTCGCCCAGTATCAGTAGCTGAATTGTCCAAAAATTTGTTGGATTCCCTCCACTTACAGTATATAAGTACTTCATCAATTCCAAGAGCTCCAGCTCTTTCCCAGTGCTCCAGTTTTTCTACGTTCGCTCCAGAGCCGCTTCGAAAGCATCGGCCCAAGTGGTGGAAACGCTCGTGGAAACGCTCCACAGTCAGCTCTGGGCGCCTTAGAGGAGAAGAGATGCAGATGAAACTCGGCACAGTTTCAGGTGAGATCTCCTAAAACCATCTAAAACCGCTTCTGACTGACATGAACAGATTTTTGTTGGTGGGAGCTGTACAGATTTGGAACTGTTGGCCAAATGTGAAAAGTATAAGGGTCTCGTCCATGCTGTGGCCAACCAGAAATCGAATTCCCATGAATTCCCAAATGTTCTTTCCCACGACTTGCCTTTGAAACGTTGTGAATAATAACATGCAATAAAACGACCAAGCTTTTGATCCCACACCGTCGCAAGATCCCACGCCGCTTCCTTCGCAGCATCTCTTCAAACCACCAAATCCCCCAACCATCGCGATGGCGTCCCGCCCCCCCAGATAGCGATGGCTGTTGTCGCCATCAACGTAAGGTGGGACCGTTCGGAAGGCAACGGCGCTGATCGTCCGCCGCGTCGCTCGCTCCGCTCGCTCCGCCGCTCTCGCCTCGAATAGCCCAGACCCACTTGTGGCCCTGCGATCCAGAGCTCTCCAATCTCCTCACTCCCCTCCTGTGCGCGGAAGAACGCGATCTTAAGCCGGAGAGTCCGGGCAAAGAGACGGTTGCAGTTCCCTAAATCATCCCAAATCAGCTTATTACCCAGTCAATATCATTCAATGAGTCATGGTTGCGAGGATGTTTGGACTGGTGGACTGGTGTCGAAGCTTTGTGGATCCCTACATGTCCTTTCTGATTCTGGGGAAACATCACCACGGTCATAGGTCACAAAGTCACAGGGTTCTTTGGTCTCGGTCTCCTTTTTCAGACTCTCTTCGGCCCACAGTCGCCCACTCTCGTGCCTGCACGCAGTCGGTGGGATCATCGCCTGGCTTGGCATGCTGGGCTGCTGGCGTCCCCACACTAACACCCCATATGCTATGATCCAACATGGAGGTGGAAAGATTCTTTCTGACAAGCCTGCTTGATGCCACTGTCCAATGTTTGACATGACCTGGAAGAGGGATGAACAATGATGAAAAGGGGTTTAACCCGAGCCTAAAAATCCCTCACCGTGCAATCCGTTGCAGAATCCTTTGCTGCTCGGCTTTGGTCGCCGGGCCTTTCTTCGCCGCCAGGACCATCTGCATCCCCGGAAGCGGACGCCCCAGCGCTCGCCGAGAGCTGTCCAGCTGCAGCTGGGCAGCGGCCTGGTAGACGGTGCACTCCGTCACGCCGTAGGTGTTCAGTAGGCCTCAGCGGTTGTTCTTCAAAAAATGAAGAAGATCAGAAGCATGTTTCGGTCTGGATGTGACAAAATACAGTACATGTTTCAGGACCTTCCCAGTGACCTGTTCAGGATTGGTTTTCCTGACCCTTTACAGTCTTAAGTGACCTCACTGGGAAGGTCCTGGTTTAAAGATTCCCTATAAGTCCATTTCGACGATATTTTGACGGACTGAAGTAGGGGAAATGACTATATGTTCGGGTCACCCGTCACGACCATTCTTTTTATAGTCTTTGACTCCAAGGGTATTTGTTTGTCCATTTGGGTCGTTCGTCCTCATGTCTTCACAGGGTGCGGGGTGTGTCACACAGTCTGCATCCATCCATCAGCTCAGCTGGTCAGTCGACGGTGTTGGGTTGGTCGGTACCCCTGAGCTGCCACACGGACCTGCCCGGCCCAATCCTCCAGCAGCTGCTGAGGCATCAGTTCACCTGCACGTCAAGTCGCCAAATCACGTAGAATCCACGGAAAAACGTGCAGGAACTGAAGAAGCATATCAATCCCATGCGGTTTGCACGCCTTTGTGGGTTTTCGGGTCCTTCTTGTTTCCGTTCGCCACGCCCCCGCCGAACACTTCGCCACGCCTCCCAATGCCACGGTGCGCAACTTCAGCTGACGCTGAGCCTGGATCCGTTCAAGGACAGACACCGAAAACGATTCCGAAAAGGCTCAGTTTGGACGCCCATCGCTCCCACGATTCCTCGCCACCGGGAAGATGCGATCCGAAACGAGGAGGAAAAGACACCCCCCCGACGGGTCCGACGGCGCCGCACCCAGCCTCCACTGTGGCCAAATGGGCGGGAGTCGCTTGAACCTTGATCCAAGCATCAAGAGGTGGTGCCTTTCAAACAATCGCCATCCAGGAAGAAGAATATCTCAGAATACTGAAATGAACTGAATCTCTTTTTCGATCCAGATGTTCCGAGCTCAACCTCTTCAGGCCGCTGAAACAGCCAGCCAGCCAGCCCGTTTGGTCTGCTTCGTCTTCCGTGGATGCACCGAGGTCGCAGCGTGGCTCGCCTGGGTCGCCTCCAAGGACCGTCCCAGCGGCAGACCCCAACGCGCCAGCGCCACGCAAGCGCCCTGGAGCCACGTGGCCAAGAAGTCGCCCAAGGACCTGCGAGGCGCTAAGAGCGCGCCTCTTAGGCGGCGACCTCTTAGGCGAAGGAGGTCGGCGAAGGAGGGATCCAAACGGTTTGGGAAGAGATCATTGGCTGTTTGTTCATGGTTGGTTCACTATTAAATATTATGTATGTCTTGCGTTTTCATGTTGTTGTTGTTGTTGTTGTTGTTGTTGTTGTTGTTGTTGTTGTTG